AAACACTCCTTCCAATTTAACGTGTTCATTTTATAAGTAAAAGTGCAAATCATATTTAAATACTCGAGTTGGAGTTATTTCTTTTTTTAAACCTTCCCGCTTCCAGCGAGCAGAGTGCTTTAGCACTCCACGGGCAACTTACCCGCCCTCTTCGACCACATTGGAAAACGTCGTATAACAGCGCTAGTGTACTTATAGATTGCTAGCGTTTATACAAAGGCACGGTTGGGTGACCCCAGGGGCATCGTAGTACTGCACCTCAGGAGAGGGAGGGCGCCACACGCAATGGGGGTGTCTGCTCGTCAGCTGACTTGGTAACGGCCTTGGGAGCAGTGTCAGATGGACAAGTCGACGGGGTGAATATTGTTTTCTGCGTTACGAAATTGGTATTCAATGAAATTTCGCAATTTTTCGAAAAGTATTAGGGGAGCATGAAAATCCAGGAGGAATTTACTGAAATTGAAAAATTAAAAATCTTTAAAAAAGTAACAGGGGGGCACGAAAAACGAAGAGGTATTCACTGAAATTTTAAATTTTTCGAAAAGTATCAGGAGAGTATCAGATGAAAAATTTTAAACTTTCAGAAAATAAAATTCACCCAGCCGATCAGTCCCATTAACAGCGGGACTGCTACTGAGGCAGTTACCGAGTCGGCTGACGGGTAGAACCCCCACCATTGGATGCGGCCCCCTCTTTTTCTGGGGTGAGGTATTCCCGCAGAACTGAGCCACTCAGTGGGGGTTTGAGTGACCCCACCGGCATTCTGCCCCACCTCACCCCAAGAGAGAGAGGGGGCCGCACCCAATGGTGGGGTGTCTACCCGTCACCCGACCCGGTAACTGCGTCAGTAGTAGTCCCGCTGTCAGTGGGACCAGCTGACGTGGTGAATATTATTTTCCGCTCCACTGACACATTTTTGAAAATTTGGAATTTTTCAATTTCAGTGAATACCTGCTCGATTTTCATGTTCCCCTGATATTTTTTCAAAAATTTTGAATTCTCACATTTCAGTGAATACCTCCTCGATTTTTATGCTCCCCTGATACTTTTTCGAAAATTTCCAATTTTTCAATTTCAGTGAATACCTCCACGATTGTCATGTTCCCCTGATACTTTTTCGAAAATTTCAAATTTTTCAATTTCTGTGAATACCTCTACGATTGTTATGCTCCCCTGATATTTTTTCGAAAATTTCGAATTTTTCAATTTCAGTGAATACCTCCTCGATTGTCATGCACCCCTGATACTTTCTCGAAAATTTCCAATTCTTCAATTTCAGTGAATACCTCCTCGATCCTCATATGCCCCTGATACTTTTTTGAAAATTTTGAATTTTTCAATTTCAGGGAAATTCTCCTCAATTTCCATGTTCCCCTGATACTACGATGGTCGTGGGGTCACTCAGATCTGAGCTACTTTAGTCAGTCCTCTTTGATGTCTTCAGTCGATTAGTATTTTCCCAAAGAATGTATCGTCTCGCCATCTTCCTCTGGGGGTAAGTATTAAAAAATCCAAGATCACCCTGACCCCTCGAACTTCTATTCAAGTCCCCTTTGTTTGTGAAATCCGCATAAATTTCCATTGCTTGTCAACAAATGCCAATCGTATCCAACAATTTGTGAAAATATTACATTAATCATGGATTCTTATATAATGCAGGTAATTCGAAACGACAGTGAAACTCAAAAGCCTTTATTTATTCTGCCACATCTGTTTCATTATTAATTTTTTCTCCAGTTAAGACGAGTTTGGTTGAACCAGGATGGATTAGCATTAGCGGTGAGTACTTAAAAAATTTGTTTAAAAAAGGGATTTGATCAAAACGGAAATTCATTATTTTTCTGAAGTGAAGAAATATCGAAGTTTATTCAACAGGTTATCATCTCTCGAAAAATTTTTTCTTTAAAAAGAAAATGTGAGAGAGGGACAAATATTGAGGTTTCGTTTTTCTCCAATTTGTAACACTTTGTATCATTCTCGCTATAATTAGGATTGCTCTTTATTTATTAACTTTTATTTTGAACAGGATTTGTTGTCTCTGCGTCACAATCATGCGAATATCTCTCAACTGTGCACTGAAATTGCAATGACGAAAGCAATGGAGCATTTATCAGCTCCATTCGATGATCTCGTTCTCCTTCATCTAAAGTAAATACATTTTCTCCACTCATATTCATATATTCTACTTATTTACGAATTTTTAATTTTCTTAATTCATATTTCTATTTTCTAGCATTTCAAGATTATCGCCGCCAATAATAAAAAAAAAATCCTCCTTTGACGGTCATTTTTTGATGTTATTTCAGGACTCTAGCTTCTGCAAATGGAGAAGATGCTCGTGCAACACATCGGAATCAAAGTGCACTAGTCCAGAGTGTAATGAAGATTCTCCAACTGCAAAAGGAAGAGAATTGGATGCTCCCTGTAATGAACGTAGTTTGTCTAGAGTTACGATTATTGGCAGTTCAAGCTGAAAATTCGAAGAGTAAAAATACGAAGCCAGGGGAGCTCCTCGAGCAAAGCGCCGAGTGCCTGATGGGGTGCTTCAGGGTGTGTGCAGCCGATAACAGAAGCTCAGAAGAAGATACGAAACGATGGGGTATGCTGTCCCTCGTCAATCAGCTCTTAAAGATCTATTTTAGGATCAATAAATTGCACCTGTGCAAACCCCTCATCAGGGCTATTGACTCCTCGGTTTATAAAGATCACTTTCCCTTGGCTCAGAGGATCACCTATAAATTCTTCGTCGGGAGGAAAGCTATGTTCGATAGTGATTACAAATCAGGTGAATACAGACACAATCATTTTCAACACGTAGTAGTTTAAGTAATAAATGCATTTTCCCATTAATAAACAATTGAAATAATGGCCTTAATTTCCAGCTAATGAGTACCTGACGTACGCCTTCGAGCATTGCCACAAAGCCTCATCAAAAAACAAACGTCTCATCCTGACTTACTTAGTCCCTGTTAAAATGCTTCTGGGATACATGCCGAAGCGGTCCCTCCTTGAGAAGTACAGTCTCATGGAGTTCTGGGAGCTAGTGGAGGCACTCAAACGTGGAGACCTCCGAAAATTGGAGACTGTGATGACCAAGCATGAGAGCTTCTTTATTGCAGCAGGAATATACCTCATAGTGGAAAAATTAAAACTACTGGCTTATCGAAATTTATTCAAAAAAGTGTGGTTAGCGATGAATACCCATCAAATTCCAGTGCAAACGTTGTTGACAGCTCTTCAGATGTATGGAGTAGAGGACATTGACATGGACGAAACCGAATGTCTAGTCGCCAATTTAATTTTTGAATGTAAGATCAAAGGTTACATCTCCCATCAGCACAAAAAATTAGTCATTTCCAAGCAAAACCCTTTCCCCAATTTGTCTTCGATCATTTAAAATTGTTTTGGGTTTAGTTTTTTAAAAATATAAATACAAATACAAATAGACCAATAAAGCAGATGTTTATACTTTTTAGAAAATATGATAATTTTTCAAACCACTGACTAAAATTGACATCTTTACAGCATTTCTCAAAGCTACTGTACTCATTTTACGAGTGTTCCGTCAGTACTTTTGTTTTAACATTGAAAAGCTCAAACATTATGAATAATCTGAAGAAATAGACCATAGAAGAATGTCAGTAGCTCACGGTTTAATAACCATTGACATTGATTGCTATTGGTATGAGCGGTAGTAGTTATTGTTTCGATAATTAAACCAACTTTCCACTGGGGAAACAAAGAGGATGCAAAAGAGGTCGTGCGACAATCATTAACTTCTATTAGAGCCACCAACCTATTCATTTTAATTCATGAATAATTATCATCGAACTCAAGTGAAACATGAAAGAGAACTCTTTTCTTTAGGAGAAATGTTCGTTTATTCGAAAGCAATAGTTTATCAGTCTCTGCAATTAAACTCTCGATCTCTCCAATTTCATTTAGTTTCAATTACGCTTTATGTCATGATTAAATCGCAAAAACCGATCGACACTAACAATAAACGAAAACTCGAGCAACGAACTCGATTTTTTATCATTACCACTGCAAAATCATTATTACAAACTAATTACAAACTAAATAATTTTACTTGACCACGAAAAAAGTAATTTCTTGTCTCAATTTCATAAACTGTGATCAACATATTCTGACATTAGAGTAATTAATAATAAAATAAGAATGAATTCTCGAGAGTTCTTTGGAAATGATGAAAAAACGATAATTACAAAGTTGTCACTATTACTTCTGGATATAATTATAAAGGAAACTCGCTACGGAAATTTAACGCTTTGAGTATTGATTTGTGGTTTTAGAAATGCTGAATCTATAGATTTTATCACGGATGAATAATTTTTGATGAATAAGAGAGAGTGCAACGAACCTGACGTTTAATATTTGCCGAAGGGAGTCGGTTGACTTGGCAGTAAGTCAAAGTGAAAGCGGATGGGTCATACCATCTTGACGAGACCCCTCTATTACATTACAGTGAAAAATATATGATTGCTGAATGTAAAAGAGGATCGAGCACTCCTAAACCCCAATGACACACATAAACTGACGCCTACACTGTAGAAATTTGCAAACCACGTCTCGTTGTTTTCATTATGCAGTGAAATTTTTCATTTCCTCTCAAACAAAAACAAGTAAAGTGAGAAAGAAAAAATAATGGCAATTGTCCCGGTCTGTCATTTTTAACACGACTCAATTGGGGACAGAAGTGCCAACAGAGTATTATTCATTGCGTGCATCTAATAGTAGAATATAAATGGGATGAGGTTTTCTACGTCTAATTATCCTATCTTCATCCACATCGACCAAATGTAATTGCTAGGTAATTTAGTAATGCCTCTGAGGAGTCTTTGCACCAACACGCAATAATAATCATCACTTTATTCATCTGAGGATTTCAAAAATTTATTTCACGTTACCATTACGATGGTGATCGGATTTTTATTCGCCATTTTATTCTGTTTATCTTTTTCAGTGTGAAGATATGTGCGAATTATCGAAGAAAGCGCAATCATATTTCATGGGATTTTTTTTCTCGCACGTGTTTCTCTTTATTCTCTCTTCAATTGCTCGTCAACACTGTGTACACTAGTACAAGTGATTAGATACATTTATGCGGGGGAAAGCAGTCGTCATTCTACTTCGCATTTTCCCAGTAATTCGTGCAAACACTTTCGCTCACGACAGACCGAAAATTGTTGCCCAATCACTGTTATCTTTTTCATGTTTTTTCCCTCATATTTTCATTCCCACAGGAAATTTTATACATTAAAATGAACATTAGGTTTTTATTGCAACTCTGTATGAGAGTAAATCTGAAAGTTGCAAAAATAATCAGATCAGGATTTTTATTTTTAATATGTTCTGTGGCGAAGGTATTGGTAAACAACTTTGTACAAAGTTTTTACATATTTATGTTTTTTGCTGGATTATTTTTTAGTGCGATTTGGTCGGAGCAATAATTTAAGAAATTGGAGGGGTTTCATGAAAAACAAAAGGATTTAATCGTCGAATCAATTCTTCCTAAATTATTCGCGGTGAATTAGTGTTTTAATCAGTTTCCTGGAGCTCGGAACAAACGATAATTCTTTCTGCGTCCTTGAAAACGTCTCAACTGCCCTCGCACACGATAATTACATCGTTACGTGTGGAATAAAACAGAAATTGCCATGGGACGACCACTACAAAACACAAAATCAGAAAAAATAACGCCGTCGACTTGATTTAGAAGGAAAAGGCATTCCCGTAGAGAAATGTGGACGCTGAAAAAATCATATTATCATTTATTAAAATTTAGAGATGATCTAGTGAAAACTGTAATAGACTACTCGGCCTTTTAAATTTTTTGTAAGTAATTAAGCGATGATTGGGGTAATATAGACACCTGGGGTAAAATACCCATTAAAAATAATCCCATTCTTTTTCACCATTTCATTGTGTTTTTTGCAAACATAAATACATTCAGCAGTTAATGGATTGACAGATTGCCAAGTGGGATGATAATAAAAGTTTTAAAAAGGTAAATAACGCAAAAAAATCTCTCATAATAATTTACATCATTCAATGGCTTGAAATATTAAATGCCTCTGCTTCAATGTTTTTTTCATCCTAAATTTATGACGTCGTTAGAAAATTCAAAATATGATTGTTTTTTTCGAAACCAGCAGTTGGAGATTCAGTCTAATACTAATTAAATCATTTTCTACAAAGCACTTATCTTTTCAGTCATTCCGTGATATGGGAAAACATTTGACAGTTATAATTGCTACTACACTAATTTAAATAAAAACATGCTCATAATACTCCGCCCTCTTTTTATGACCCTGAAGTTTGCCGACTTTCAAGGGAATAAATTTTTGACACCGGATGTCTGACCGGGAAAGCGCGCAATTGGAAAAAGTGCAAAGGCAATATATATCCGTCATGACTGAATGCAATCGTGATGATTCGCATTTATGGCGTTTTTTAAATTAAAGAGCTATTATTTACTGGGTAACTCATTGAAAACTCATCGAGGATCTCTCTTGTTAGAAGGACCCAATTAAAAAAAAAAGCAGTCACGTTTCCAGCTTCCCAAAACCTCTTTGTCATATTTAAAAATTCTGTTTGTTTATTACCGAACAATAGATATGCTAAAGTATGGCATAACTTCGTCAAGGTCTATCATAGACATAAATCATTCATTAAATTATTATTATTTTTATTAAAATTTTAAATTTTAATTATTATAATAAAATTTTAAATATTATTTTTTTTATTAAAAAAAAACGTCACATTTTCCAAATTGAAAAATCCTCTCGTGCCCATTTTTCTTTTTTTTTCGATGTTCCACCTCCGGTATATCCGGTGTCAAAAATTTATGTCCTTGAAAGTCTGCAAACTTCAGAGTCATCTTTTTCTGTAAATATGAATATTTTGGGAAAATTAAATGAAATGACAGATTTTTTAAATAACTGGGTCACAACCTCTTAGGATAATTGAATATTCCTTTCGCAATATCTAACAGCATTTAGAAACTTTGAATCTATATAAAATATCAAGAAAAAGGAAAGTCGGGTAATTGATTGTTTTGCGTATTTATGTACTAGCAATCCTAAGAGTTATTGCCAGTATCTTTTTATTTTCCAAGTTTTCTTACAATTTTCTGAGGAATGGTTGATAAAACTGACGTGAAGAAATATATAGTTTTTAAGTTTTATTATTATTCAATGTCTTACGAAGTTATATCACCGTGCAATAATTTTCTCATGTTCATAGTAACCTTTTGCAAAAATTCACAAAACTTTGATAAAAATAAAAATATATAAAAGATAGAAACATGTTTACTTGTTTATTAATGAAACCTTGTGAGTCATTGAATAATGGTAAAACCTAAGAGCGATCTTTTTCCAGATCAATCTGATGTAGAGTTTCCTAGAGTAAAATTTCCAAAAAAAACAAGAAAAACATGAAAATATTGGCAATTGCTTCTTGAACCGTTGAGGTATATTTGTCCATAAAATCTTTATCGCGTTTGAAACCCACGAGTTCGATTTTGTCCGGAGATTTCTTCTGAAATTACTCGTGAAGAACGTGAGATGTAGAAAATTTGATGGGATCCTTTCCTAAATGTTTCTTCTGTTTTGAAGAAAGCTTTCACGAATGTGTCTTTTTTAAAAATGCCAGAATACTCGTGAGAAAATCTCTCGTTTTCTTTTGAATTTCGAGATATTAATATACATCAGATATAATTCGAGATATTCTCCTCTTCAGCATAATTCGACTCTAATTCCGATTTGAATTTCAAATTTCGTACAGAGAATTTTATAGAGGAATTTGTTAATTAGTGAGATTAATTGTTATGAATTATATAATAGATTACAATCCGTAATTAGAGAAACTAATTAGTATTATTAATTGATTAGCGTTATATTAGTAGTATTAATATTCGTTTATCGAGCATTTTATGTCTAGAATTTTTCTGGTTCATGAAGAATTTTCCATTTGTATAAAAAAATTCTCTTTAGCTCATATTTCTTCCTTTATTCTTTCGCCACTTGAGAAAATTTTTGCAAGATAAAATTCCTGCATTGATTCCATTACCGTTTTCCATACGTGTTTTTTCTTCGCGATGTTTGTAAACAATCGGACGTGTTGCAATTTCCATTTTCCCTTCTACCAATTCGTCGTGCTCATTTTAATAACAAGAAAATCCTTGAAAATCCGACATATGAGATAAAACCACCGACAAAAATTCCACGTTTATTGAGATCTCGGTTCTGAAAAAAATCACGCATTTATCGATATCCCGGTTCTCACATAAAACTCGATCGACGATCACTTCTCCAGTAATAATCCATTTTCTCCTGGAGAGGATTGGAAACAATAGAAAGTGAGTCAAGTAACTACAAGCAGCTGTGAGTAATTTTTACTGCATGATTTTTCTCAAATTTATTTGCATTATTATTTATAAATTGAGATATATTTTTTACACAATATTGATTCGCGAGAAGCATTTGTATTTCGACGTTTCTCTAACAGAGTCATTTCTAAGCGATCATTATCGCATTTCAATTATGTCAATTCAATTGTTTACGAAGATAATTATTTTCCATGAACCTTTGGTCGGATTCAGTAATTATTTTTTTGTTGGAAAATCGATTTGTTCTTGAGAAGATAATTCCGATTAAAGTCAGCATGAAATAGTCGAACGTGCTTTTTAGTTGGAATTCAATATTGTAATACAAATTGTGTTGGAAATCACTCAAATGTTTATAAAAAAATAATAAAGAAAAAGAGGAAAAATGTTGAGCGAGAGGATAAAGAGCCATATTAATTTAAAGCCATCTGCTAAGTTAAAAAAATAATTAAAAGTACGCAGTTTACCATCCAAATTGTCAAATGTCCATTTCGTTTATTTATTGTTATTAATTGTCAAATGTGTTCCTCTCCGCCATCATGGTAAATGGTAAACTGTGGGTTTTTAATAATTATTTACATAATTATTCCTCTTTATTTAATTATTATCTTTTTATAAACATTGGAGTGCCTTCCAACACAAGTTCTATTCCCGATCTTCATATATTTTAGGACAGAAGATGAAATTCAAACAGAACATCACGTTCCGTAGATAAACCATGCGGGCCTTAATGTTTCAATAATTATTCACAGATTTCATTCATAATTCATAAGTCATAATTGATATCATCAGCATCTGGAGTAATGTAATTGCTATAATTGGAAAGGAAGAGATTTCCAAAACGATTTCCAAACGATCTCGATGGTTCCATAATTATTAATTCACTTGATTTTCATAATTATTGATTCAAAAAAATTTATGGATTTCTTCATATTTTATTTGTATTGAATTCAAGAAATTTATAAATTATAGTTGTGATGGGAAGTGATAAACTATAGGATAAGTATTTTTTTTTAGATCCGTTTTCAGCGGATTTTCTAAATTAACGGAAGATAATAATATTTTAACCAAAACCTTTTTTGTATCTCTTATCTGTTTCTATAAAAACTGTTCATGTTAAAAAATGTCTATGTTCCTTGAATTCTAAGATATTAGCTAAAAACTATTTTTGAAAATGGCTACTGAATGATAGAATTATCGTAATCGTTTGAAAATTGATTTGGAAATCGATTTCATCTCAATTATGAGCATTCTCTTGCTTATATTTTATTTATATCATTACATTATAATTCCGTACAAATGAACTATAAAAATTCCTTTCGTCCAACTGAAAACGGATAAATTAAATAAATCCTCAGAAATAAGAAACAAGTAGATGACTTTAAACTCTTCAAAAATTAATCACGTTACCCACAATTTACCAACTGTAAATCGCTGGACTTGCAAGATTTCCACACGATTTCCCAAGTAACTGGTCCCTAGTCGCCACTAAAAAAGAATATCCAGGAAAAATAAATGCACCTCTCAGTGCAATCTCCTGTTTCCATTGGTTCCCACTAAATTCAATTTATTCCTTGTAAAATCGCCTGGACCATCCAAGAACTGACAAATCCCTGATAGAACAGGTTTGATGATGGAATGATGGAAACTAGGTGGCACGATTCTCCTGCGAAAGAAATGCGAAAAAAAAGAATGTAAAGAGAGGAAAAAAATTATAGGAAAATCATACTAATATGAAAAAAAAGTTGATGGTGGGACGGTGCGTGTGCTGACTTAGAAAGTCATAGTTGAATTACACCTTGCTGATCATGTACACACACAAATTCATTGGAATATCTTGGGTTAGGTATCTTTGCTGCCCATAAAAATCCCCACTTTACTTGAGCAACTGAGCGGTGGGATTGACCGTCTCTCTAAGCTAGCGGTGTTGGCTCCCATCAGACATTCACTGCTCGTTCAATCGTCGGGCAATTGACATCATTCCTTTTTTTTTATTTTTATTTTTATTTTTTAAGTCGACCATTCAAAAGTGTAAACAGTTTGTACTGAGTTGAGGTTGAATTTTGTTCAGGAAATTTTATCCGAATTTGGATTCACCAAGAGGATGGAGAAAGATCAGCTTGACTCTTTGGCAACTGTGGCTGTTGGATCTGAGAAAATTCCACCACCGCACAGCCATTATGCTCCAAGTGAAGTTTATTCCCCATCAGAATCACCACCGGTGAGAGATTCATTCAATTCAATAGTGAAGTGATATATTATTTATTATTGCATTATTATTTTCTCAATACTTTATGGAAGAAAGTCGTGGTTTTTTAACAAATCAAATCTTTGGATCTTGAGACCTTTTAGTAGATGGTGTACGATCTCAAAGAATCCTAAATATAAAATCTTATTGAGAAGGGAAAAGCGATTGCTGAATCTAGATTTTATAGAAGGATTTTAAGGGTTGAGGAAAAATGTGAGAGGAATTCAGAGAAAAAGATCTTTTTCTTAGATCAATTCTTGAAATGATTCTTCCAAAAATGTTTTTAATGAAGACGACTGTCAAAATCATCTCGATTTTTCGTGTCGACTCTTCAGATCGTTCCATGTTTTCATGTGTCTAAATGTTTTCTTTGTGTAATAACACAAAAATCGGTTGAACCGGTCTTTCATGCATCTCACGTATTGTTCAATGTTTTCCGGATAGTTCTCTTTGTTTAATGCATCCGGGGAACTTTCTAATGTGCCCCGTTGGAAACAAGAAACTTCTGATCATGATTGATGAGATATAACGGAGAGAACAACGGAATCAGAGGTTGAGGTTGAATATTGAAAAAAATTGTCGAATCTATCAGCATCACCGGCTTTTTGCCGACTGAATTTTCAATAGTCTTTTTCTGCGTTTTATTTTGTGGCCTGCCAACCGAATGACGTACAACTTTCACGAGACTTCAAGGCAAAATAACAATTCCATCATCTCCAGCATTAAAGTCTCTCTGAATTCTAGAATTTTCTCCCTCTGATATCGAGAAGTTCTGCTAGAGAAATTATAAAATCGTAATATTTAGGAAGTCGCCTGATCGTTTAGAGATTAACTATAATTTTCATAATATAATTTGTTGATGAGGCAAAATTATGAAAAACACTGAATCTCAAGATTTAATCATTTTTTCTGTGGAATTCTCCATTGACAGATCATTTAATTTTTTGAATATTCTATTTGTTAATATTGCGAATATTAACCATATCCATATGGCACGGAAAGACCTTGAAAATATTGAACATTCAAGTAATAATTTGAATTTGAATTGGAACTGTCAATCAGTTGAAAATTCCATTGGATTTGATGTTGAATTTTCACGATGAGCATAAAAACTCGTTTTCATTAAAAAATAAATTATCCTCTCCCACGAAAAAGTCCAATTATCCTCAATTTTCAAGATAAACGAGGAATTTATTGGTCGTTCTTAATTGAAATAAAATGCAAAAGCAATAAGTGCGCATAAAATTGCGCATTAAAAATTGAAATGACTGTGACTCAAATTTCAAGAAAATTTTAACAGACACTAAATACTCTCCTAATTTCAAGATCTCCACTCGAGGGTATGAATTTTTTTCAATAATTCCCCGGCTCAGTGACGTAATTCCTCGTTCTCTCGAAAAAGCGAATTAGGTTTGACGAGTTAATTCTCGTCATTCCATTAAACTCTAGTTACATTGGGTAATTTTAAGTACTTTTTGTGAGAAAACCGCACATTTAAAAGTCCACTAGCTAGAAACGAGTTATTGCGTGGGGCATTGTGTACTTTTTAGTCATCGAGGAAGTATGGTTCCTATTACGCAATGCAAAACAAATGTTCCGAGTGCCTTCGGCTCAATAAAAGTGAAGAAATTATCGTTTCCAAGTGAATTCCCATTAAAAAACAGTCAATATTGAGATTTTAGGACTGGAAAATAAGAATTCTCCGAATTCCTCTCTCAAAACTCAGCAATAATATTCTTTTTCAAGTTTCCAGAATCGCAAATCTCGATATCTCTTTGAACAAACCGTCTAACGAACGGTATTCGAGGGATTTCCAGAGAAAATTTATGAAATAAATAAATAATGAATAAATTTAATATTTAAATCTCTCTTAAATTACATAAACCATTCATTTTTAAATCCCACAGTAATGCGGTTTAATATTAATTTATTTCAATATGAAAATATTCGGAGGAGTTTAATGAGTAGTGACTGTTAAAAATTGGAATATATTCTAAGAATTATTATTGTTATATATATATCATTATTATTATTATTATATTTTTTTATTATGATTCGAGTATCATTTACGTTCTTAACTTGCTTTTCTTGTTTGCATAAGTCAATCGTTTTAAAAAAGGTTTTAGCAAATAATATTTTCATCATAAATATTCAAATAGTTTAATAATTGTCGCACATTTATATGGGTAAATTAATAGAAATTGAGTGTAAGTTTGAGGAAAATGGATGAATCGAAACCGCTTGGCAACAGAAATCCTGTATTTACTTTTTGCTAGAGGACTAGAGGATCGTACATTCATCTCGAGATGGCCTACTATCTCTTCGAGTTAAAGGAGGCCTCTCACCCGTGGTAAAATCGTTCATACGACATCGAGGTCATTAAGAATCGCGTGCACAACCATTTGCCTCATATCTCCCATCAAATGAACCAATTTCTTGCATTTTCTTTAGTTTCTTTTCATTTTCAGTCAATGAAGAATTATGCGGGCGCCCTTATAAGTCTTTATTTATCAAAGACTGCAGTATGCTATTCCACTTCCATCTTTCTAATCAAAATAATCAAAAATATAACTGATTAAAATTCGTTTGGTGATTATCTGTTTATTTTCGCGATAAAACCGCGATCAGTGCTTTTTTAACGCACTCTGTAGAAAAGAGCGAAAGTGAATACATTTTTATTATTCAATTATTAATCGTCTACAATCAATCCTTTCGTGAATAATATAAACAAATGCTTTAACAGAAAATAAATGTGGCATCGATATTATAATTTTTTTTCCATATTTTTGGTTTAATTCGGCGACTCTTTTTGAATTGAGAATATATCTTGATAAAATACTGTTCAATTTTTCTTACATGACGTGTTATTTATTTATTAACGTTCTTCACAATCAACGCATTGAAATAATAAACCGAATTTGACATTGAGAAGTATGAGATAACAACGGCAATGATACGATTGTTGTGAAATGGTCGAATTAAAAATTTAATTCAAACTCATTTTTCGTAGTATTATTATTTTTAATTATGTGATTGTGTTCTTGTAACTGCGAGATGCAGAGAATTTATTTCAATATTTTCATCTGTCGTGGAGATATTTTGATATTTTTATTTTCTTTATCGTATGCCCTTTCGAGTTTTTAGTAAATCCATTACAAGATTCGCTGTATCCGAAGGAAAAAACCTGAAAACCTCTCCGGTCGTCTCTTAGTCTTTTCTTACGTTATTTGCGCTCTACAATGAACTAAGAAATTAGTCTGACGCCTTAACCACTTGCCCATTGCCGCCAGTAATATTTTCGTACATTATTCGCCAAATTATATTCTAGAGAATGATTTTTTTATTATATTTCCTGTTTCTGCACACAACGAAAGTCTCTTGGTCTTAGAGATCGAGTTTCTAAATCCAACAAAAAGAGCTAGATGCGATAGAGTGTTCTTAATTATAGGAAACCGTTTTCTTGAATGTAGAAACTTCTTTGGTAAAAATGTACCATTCGCTCTGGAGCTAAAGTTTCCTTATTATGAAAGTAGAAACACAAAAATGAAGTTCGCCCGAGTCGAAATATCTCGAAACGCGCAGGAATAATTCCTTATTGGTCGAGTCGAACCGCCAAATTCAAATTCGGCGCACGGAGTGCGCAGTAGATCTCGTATAATCAAATTTGGCACTGACATTTTTTGGTGAAAAATTGCGCATTACCACAACCCTAAAATATGATATGACCAATTTGACTATAACTTTTCAATTAATCTACAGTATACCACCATGACAGGATTTTCCTGACTAACTATAATTAGTCAATCTTAGTTGCCTATCTAGTTAGGCTAATGTATATGATAATAATTATATGGGACATCTTTCTGGTTAAATTAAATTTAATTTCGGGTTAAGAACTCCGATAAGTTGAAATTAAAGTCAAACTAAATTGCAGTCATTGAGAGTTTTTAACCTGTAGTTAAATACTACTGCTAACGGTGGTTAACTTATCAGAAAACTGGCCTTAAGTCGAGAGGACATCAGCATTCGGCATTCCCAGGGTTCACGATTAAATGATTCAATGATTTAATGATAATGATTCCATGATAGATGGTTCAATGATTAAAGATGTCACAGCTGGTGATTTTTGATAAACGATTGTTTGAGTTTTGACGAAGTCATAGCCGAATTAAGATGGCATATTTATTTTTGTGGCGTACTGGGATGGTGAATTAATGCAAAATCCGCAAAGAACTTATTGAAAATCACCAGAAAATGACATCTCTGACGAGATGGAGCTGATGTGAACCCCATAGAATAGAAATATTTGACCTAGTCCAGGAATAAAAAAAAAATTCTTTAAATATCGTCTGAGGTTTTTAAATTAATATTTATTTTTTGCTATTCTGCACATTCACCAATTTTTTCTCTCTGCGCAAATAAACAAATTGTTCAAGGAACTTCGTTCTGTTGGAATTTATTGGAGGTGTTTATCAAAGGACACATAGCAGTACTTTGAATGGTACTATTGGAGTGCCTGAGGTCATGATACAGTTAGAAGTGACCCTAGCGCAGGCATTAAACAATTAAAACGATCTTATCCTCTTTAGATTATCTCTAGGAGCAAATATGCAGGAGTTAACTGTGAAAATGCAATTTTTCCACGACGGAGTAGCAATTACAGCGATTTAGAACCCAGACGATTTGTTTGCCGAAGCGATGAACAGTAGGAAATGAAAGAGTCGAAAAAACATCCGACAGAGCAATTGATGGCTTTGGAGCCTATGGCTATTGAGGAGAGTACCGAAGGTTTTTTTTTCTATAAAAATTTATGGACTATGAAAGAAGTCATTGGGTGTTACTTCCTGAAAGTACTTGGGGTGATTGAAGATTTTGCAAAATAGTCCGCAATTTTAAAATAGTTTCTTCTACCAAAAAATGATTAACAGGAGCTAAACGTTTTCGCAAGACAAAATTGGAGACATTTTTTCTTGTTTTGCTTTCTCTTTTGTTTTCCTTCTCGGAAATTGTCAGAAATTTTACGGGAATAAATTGTTAATTGTCGAGTGCCGACACAAAAATCTTCCGGAAAATTTTACGGTACACGGAGATGAGTTGACTTATCCCCCAGTTGAGTTTTTGCGCAATATTTAGTATTTTTGTAATGACACTTATTGGAACATTCAATTGGCCCCACAGAAAAGGTCAAACCAAAATTTTACTGTTCTTTAGATTCTGAGATATCTATTGATTTTTAATTGTTAGATTTATCTCCACTGAAACACTGAGTTTTTTACACACTGAAAATTATTATTGAAAATTATTTGACTCTAGTCAGTCAAGAGGTACTTTCCAGAGAGAAGACCAACTATACGAATTAACTATTACTAGTCAGGCCTAAGTTAAACTCTTCTTCAGAGGGCAACTTCAAAAAACTTTCAAAGAGTTGATTTTTTATCCGGTAAAAATCCCGGAATTCAACAACCGCCGTCCGACGATTTTTGGGAGAGTCACAGATTTTTAACGATTACAATAAAAAAAAAAATACGGATACAGGTACAAAAGGCCTCGACTCGGTTGTGTACGAAGCGTAAAGCTGGCACCAATGTATACATAATTATGTATATACAACTATTGTCGATCTGTGTCGTTGGTTTTTTTTCCAAAGCATTTACATGATTCTGCGAATGTGTCTGTGAGCGCGAGTCTACCGTCTGGTGAATGACACAATCGAAAAGCCCTGAGCCAACGAATGGATACATAAACGCTGTACATGCGAAACTAGCGAGAAAAAAAGAAAAATTCTTCAAGAGATGAATATGGTTAATGAGAGCTGTTGGATTACGTAAGGTGTTCATTTGAGAGATAGATTTTGAGTTTCTTTATAATTGAAATGTTTCTTTCCACGCAGAACAAAATTTGAAGTAGAAACCAGGAAACGGTTAAATTCATTAATACAGATTGGAAGAATGCAATAAAATAAAAATTATTCCTTTTAGGATGGAAGAATCGTGTGATTTTTGCAATATTGTCGTCTTTATCTTCATGTTCCAGCAGAAATTACAATTTCTTAATGAGAAATGACGGATTATGTAAGGGGTTTATTTAGGATGCATGCGTTAATTGATTTTGAGAGTTTCTTTTTAATTGAAGATTGGCTGATTGTCGCTCGGGGCAACCGTTAATTCACCGCGGGAAAAAGTCATTTTTCTCGCAATTCGAATTAACATCTTTCTATTTTCTTTTGCACATTTTATCAAGTGATGCGCATCGTTATTCGATGAATTCCGTTCTGCAAAGCTCCATGGCTGTCGGTTAATTAACAACGGGAAACTAATTGTATACATATTTTCTGCAGCGGAAGAAACTATCTTTATTATGAATCTTTCTTTATTATGAAAGTAGAAAAACACAAAAATGAAGTTCGCCCGAGTCGAAATATCTCGAAACGCGAAGTACTAATTCCTCATTGGTCAGCTCGAGCCGCCAAATTTAAATTCGGCGCACGGAGTGCGCAGTAGGTCTCGTAATTTATTAATCCAAGAGCTTTCCCAGCTCTATTTTCACCTTTTCGTTCCCCCAATGGAAAAAAAAACTTCCAGAGATATGAATCGCATGAATAATAAATCGAAATAGATTGGAAAAAAAATTAACCCAATTAACTTCATGGGATTTATTATTTTGATTTCTCTTTTTCATTTTCACTACAATTTTTTTTCTTGTACATATTCGCAAAATAGCAGAACATTCCCAGCAGTTTAACATTCAATTAATCCAAAAATACCTCAAATTAAAATAATTAAATAATCATCAATTATTGAAAGCACCAGAATATCTTTGGACAAATGATGGATTAATTTGGATTAATTTCATTTTAGTTTTCCCTACAATTTTTTTCGTAAAATAAGAAAAATTCTGGACAGTCTGGAATTCAATTACTTGCCAAATGTCACAAGTTTTTAATAATTATTGAATAATTATCATATTTTCAGGCATATTCTCGGCCAGTCATGAAGAGCACCGCCGTCCAAATAGCGAGAATAGTCGCTGTAACTCTGATTGCAATGTCTCTAATAATTGGGAGTTTCATCTTGGCAGCAGCATTCTTAGAGGCACGTGCATCTTGCACCCCCGAGTCAATAGCTGCGATGCAGGTACAATTGAACAACCAGCAGGGTGAATCATTCAGGAAACTTCAGCCTGAAGCTCTCGTCCAGGTAGGAATTAAGCGCTGAATTGATCAGATTAAATTGATTTATCGTTTAAATGTCCGAGATTTTATTTCTCACGGGCTTCAACTGGGGAAAGGATTTATTCGCTGACCTCGGTGTGGTCTATTTGTATCTGGATAACAATGTAGACACACATTGAACACTAAAAGCATCACATGTGATGCCTGAGTGCTCTTGGATTCCCTCAAGGCGAACTTGTTTCATTTCAATTTCTTTTATTTTATTCTCAGCATTCATTTTTCCAGCCTCGAAAGCATTTCAGGAGGTCACGTCATTTTTTCCGTTTTTTTTCCATAAAGACTTTCTATTGGGGCAGGTAATACCCTCGGATATGAATTGCAGACAAACCGATTTCTTTTTTGAATCAAATTATAGATTATAGTTTGAAATTTCATTAAATATTGCTAATTGTTAATTGAAACCATTTTTAATGGGATTTTATTGTCAGTTGCCGAAAATTTTGCAATTCATGACAAATTCAGAGGTATTTGCTAGCCTCTCCATTTTTTTTATTATCAATTTTTGAGAACTGCCGATTTTTCCGCGCAAAAAACAAGCAATGGAATTTCATAATCAAAACGGGAAATCAGAGACGTCGGAAATTTTATGTAGTTTATCTTCAAAGTGGGACCCTTTACGAGACGTTTAAACATTTTTTATTGCGGAAATGATGTATTCGTTTCGGTGATATCCGCAAGAAAAATTCCGCAAGGAAGAGCTAAAACGATTCAGCTCACGGTTTAATTTAGCGAAAATAAAATTTCCAGATCGGGGAGATAACAAAATGTTTGTGCTGATCTTTTATAGTTCTCATTTCGGTCGAAATTCAGCAATTGACTCGGATTTCACCCATCAAATTATTTACCAAATAAAGTCACAATTCCTCACGTAAAATAATCAGTCTAATTCGTAGGAGTTAATTGTTCGGGTGGGAGGAGAAATAGTGAATGATTGAAGGTGTAGAAATTTCTAAACAATTACGATAATAAATTCACGGTATAATTGAAACTAAAATTCTCTCGTAGTAGTGAGAAATTCTAAAATGCCGTGGTATATCAGAGGACTCATCGCTATTACATTTACCATGGTGAAAAGGCACGTACAAAACCACAACGGAAAGTGGGTTGCCCGTTGGTTAATGTTCGACGAGAAACAGGAGGTGAACGTACGCTGAAAAAGATTTTCTCTTTGCCGATTTAACTGGATTGCCAGGGTGAACAATAACATCCTTGGTGCTAATCCTCTTTTTTATCTGATTGTCGCATTTTCCCTCCATGTCGTGCAATCTTTGCATTTTTCCATGCAACAAATCTAAAAATGGGATGTCCCAAAATTTTCGCTTCATGTTTTTGAAAAATTTAATACAAGACTTAAAAGTCTCATTTGAACACGCCACATCCCGTCATTTGATATTTAGAAGACTTAACATTAATTATTTGAAAGTTTAAACTTTAATTTTTCAAAAGTTCATTCGTTATGTTTAAAAAAAATAAACTTCGGACGTTTAAAACTCAAATCAAGACTTTGCGAACTGTATCGAAGTTTTTTCTTATTCAATAAGTTCTATCTCGAAATTTTATTCAATGTCTCGTCAATTTACTCACTTGACAATAATAAGCTGTTATTTGATTGTACATAATTAACAATAAGGCGGGCAACTTTTCACTTCTTGGAAATTATTGCAGGAATATTAAAGTCGTCGATTTTTTCAACTTTCATTAGGAAAAAAAGACAAAAAAACTAATACCATTGAAATAATAAGTATAATAACTATTGATAGCATCAATATTATAATTAAAATACACTGATTAAACTCATTACGTAGATCTTCGAATATTAAACATGACGGAAAGTTAAGTGTAATTACCATTAAGCCTGCGAATATCAGTGTGAAGGTAATTAAGCAAGTCACTGTAATTAATAAATCTCAACATCTTCATTTAGGACCTCTTCGTCTGAACGGGAGAATTTTCAAAGTTTGAGATCAAAGATTTTTAAAGATTCATTCAAGATTTTCGCGAAGATAAATTTGATGATTGAAATTTAATTTTTTTTCCGCACATCGTTAGAATTAGGAAGATCTATCCAAAAATTAGATGTTTTTTTTTGATGGAGCAAAGACTAATGAGAATAATAATTTGGCTCTCAATCATTCCATTCTTTTATCATTATGGAATCCCCTGATGAAAGTATGCTTCCGCCAAAATCCCGGCTTCTCTAGTTTTCTGGCAAATTGTTGATCGGATTGGCACGAAGAAACTATTGACTTCGCATTTTATAATTATTTATGACTCCCAAAATGTCAGGATCGAGCAATAAGTTTCCTGTGTTTTTCCTAAACGTTTAAAAGATGTATAAAACTTTAAAAAAACCACAAAAAAATTATCGCACGCTCATTAAACTTGTCGAGTAATGAAAGAATCATAAAATGCAAAAACCGTATATCTTTGTGAGGTAATCCGCTCAAAAATTTGTCAGAAAACTAAAAAAAAACGGTAATTTCGGCTGAAAGGGGCAGAATATGCTTAAATTATTAACCATGTTTGTTGAATTTATATCCAATGTCAGTCCTAATTTTCTTGTTGATCCAATCGTTGTATTCTTCCATACTATTTTTAAGTTGTCTACGACAAAGGCCGACGACGATAACGATTTACTGCTAAATTATGTCTTCTTTTTATCACATTCCTGATGTAGTTTTCTTGTTTTGTTTGTTTAGTCGCTTTGAATTCCTGATGCTATTCTCTTGTTTTATTTTCAGTAATCCTCCTAATTCTCTTCTTTGACTCCACCGTCCTCGTTTTTTTAACGGATTTTTAGCTTGATAGTAAAAATTTATTGGTTATTTACCGGTTGTCTTTGTTATGCTGCTGACTCGGCGGAGTTTTGTTGAAAGAATTTCGGTTTTTCCATTTCGCGATGATATTTTATGGCTTTAGCACAACAATGGAGTGGCGTAATATGAAGTTTATATTACAGGAATGAAATTATAAATGAAGTGCCTTCACTTGTTGCTCATATTGACACGTACGGCGTATCTTTCGAAAACTTTTTGGTGAATCTTTCAGGAATTACGTGACTTTGCTTTTGGCAGACAACACCACGTTTGAAACGTGACAATCATCCAATGTTGTATTTAGGAGAAATCAGAAGAACGTGAGAAGACGAATCTTTCCGCCTTGTCTGGGTCACTGATAATTCCGATGATGAAACGTCTTCCAACAAAAAGTCACGGACGTTCCTTGATGATCTTCCGTGTTTTGCAGATATGGGCCATTCCATTTTTTCCGTACAAAATATTGTCTGTCGAATACATTGATCATTGGAAAATATACGAGCAGGAGATGATTCCAGAAACAAAACTGTTGGTGCTGATAAATATTCCAAAACTTACATAATAATTGTTACGAAGTTGTAAATTGGTAGAAGTGCATTTTTGTAACGCCAGTTTTTTGCCGATTTCTCGAAATTGAAAGAAGATAATGATATTTTCATGGGAATCTTTTTTGTAGCTGTCATTTTTTTCTATAAAAAATGTCTTGTCGGAAAAATTGCTATGTGTCTTCGATTCCGGCATATTGGCGAAAAACAGGCCTCAAAAAAATGCACTTATCCAACTTTACCATTTCTCTACTGAATTTACACTGAGGCTATTTTAATAATTCCTTTTTTTTGTGAGAGTTCTACATAAATATTGCTATTTTAATGGCTATTTTTATTAAAAATCTTGGTAATTGTTAGCATAAATAATTGGAAAACTGGTATGGAAATTCAAGCATCTCCTGATTGGATGAAAACGTGCGCGAATACATGTAGATTAGAAAGCTGTCATAGGATAGAGTAGAAATTTAAATCGGCCGAGTCAGGGAGTGATTAGTAAAACCTGATGTTAACCGTTTTTTAATTAAAAATGGAGGACTTCGGTAAATTCTAGTCTGACGCACGTGTGAGGATTCGCTTTTTTTTGGAAATTAACGGATGCAGCTCAAATTTAACACCGAGAAAAAATTCCTCTGCCAAATATAAAATACTAACGATATACAGTATTTTTGAAAATTCATTAAATTTTTTTCTCAGTGAAATAAAATTTTCGGTTACTCTTGCTGAAATTTCCTTAAATCATCAATTACTGGTTATTCATTCATATTAATTGATTCTTGACAGAATCCCTGGAGATTTACATAAAAATTTGTTATTAAAACAATAATAAATTAACGTGAGGCGACAGAATTTCCAGTGGAAAAATGACAAACGAGGGAATTTCAAACGTAATGAGAGTAATTTTCAGGCATGATAAAATAATGCTATCGGTGTTATAGTAAAAAATTCGCATGTGCAGATGATTTTTTCTTTAAATGTTTAATTATTGGGGATTTCATTCCATTTTCTTCTCGGATGGGTGAGTATCAAAGTGCCTCTTGCATTAGAGCAATCTCGAAGTCTCCCTTCAACTCGAAGCCACTTTCACGCTCACAAATCAATCGACATTCTACATTCGAAACTTCCATCGATTGTTGGTAGAAAAAAAAAATGAGTGAATCAACGAGCTTGAACAGTATCACCATCTAAACTGACTTAACTTATGGGTTTTAGACTTCTTTGAGATACCAGTCAACCGGGAAGTTAGAAAGTTGTCAGTGCCTTGGTACCTGATCACCACAGAGTGCCAATTAGCTTCCTGAAATTAACGTGAAACAGAGAAGAAAAACGAGAATATCACTTCATTCTTGAAACAATATATTTTTAGCGCTCAGCATTTCAGGAAATTAACGTCATTCTCCTGTGATTATTATTCGGAGATTTAATTTCATTCGTCAAAACTAGTGAGAGGTAAAACATTGTGAAATGTGAATTGTCAAGCTCCCCTTTATTCCAGGGTTTTTCGATTTGGGATCGATCTTTTAAAAATTCATTGTTTTACACTCGATACTCGATTTTTTAAATAGATTTTCGCGGGTCGATTGATCAATCCAATCGATCTTTCTTCGTCCACATCGAGATTTCCTGTTCTCCATTTTTTATTTCTATTGTTATTAATTTCCACTCTCATTTGAGTTGATTTGAATGATAAATTATTTAGCGTAGTGTATCACATAAAAATTTAATAAAATGGTAATGTTGAATATTTGATAGGTTTCTATGAAGTTATGAGTATTGAGGAGGCAAAGTTGGAACATGGCTGAATTAGTTACTAAATTAATTAGTCATCCTTTCTATTCTAATGCAGCTATTAAAGTTCTTTAACTATTAACAGTTTATTTTTTAATTAATTTTTTCTCATAACACATGCTAATGAATCTCCATTGAACGTTCATTCTCCATTTATTTTTATGTTATTTACTTATTTTTTCAAAGCCAATTGGAATGTGAACTGCGGAAAGAGGGGGAAGAGGGGGAAGAGGGGGAAGAAGAACCGTAACTGATCGATTTTCCAAAAATCGATACAAGAGAAGTCGATTCAGTCCAATTTGAACAATTGATCAGTTTTCGCTGATCGATAAGTTCTACTTTATTGATACTCAGGTATTTGATTAAAAAATTCAGATAATGTCTCAGGAATTATTTTTTCATAATCCTTTTCTCAAGGAAATGTGATCGGAGCCGTTTATTTATCATTTCCTGCACCATTATTTTTTATTAATTTATGTTGACATTTAGATTAATTCTGTTGTGCGTGAATAACGGGATGTTGTTGAAAAAATAACCAAATTAAGTCTGACTTGTCAACTTTTACTACCTCTCGTCAGGAAAGTGAATTGATTTTAATAATGCAAATTGCGGAAATAATTTTCATGAATTTCCTGTATCCACCAGATGTTGGTTTATCTTTGTAATCATATATTGTTATGAAGTTCTCTAACACGGGGGAGGAAATAGCATTCATCTCCATTGAATGGATGACACTAAACAAATTAATGCACTCTTCAATTTATCTTCGCAGAATAGAGAATAAGAATTAACTTGTCAGTTGACTGGAGTTAATTCCTGCATGAGCCATGCTGTTGTGTAAATCTTTCTTTTCTTTTCCTCTTGTAACTTCCGGTAATGCAGAGAAAGAAACAATATTACGATCTTTTTCTTTCGAAAGTTGAGGAAATTACAGTGTAGTTAGAATTTCAAATGTTACAATAGAATTTTCCTTTCTATTTTGCCTCGAGATTAGTGACATTAATTCGAGATGAAATTCGTAGAATAGTCTTTTTGAATGAAAATTCTGCTCTAGCGGTCTTAAGAAAAAAACTCTGAGATTTTATCAATCAACCTGACGCAATGGCATATCGAATGATGAAAATTAATTTTATGAAGATTTTATACAAATAACAAAATATTGTGCTGGGAAAGGATTCATCTCAAAACTCGTCAATTTTTTGGATGAAAAAAATTGTTTTTCTATGCAAATCGATGAATTATAAATTGACGCAATAAATTTGCATTTGAATTCGTACCATGAGTTAAGCTTTGAATAAGTTATTTCATTCCTCTTTTCACCTTTAAAATTCCTAGCCTGTAGGGAAAGTATCGAAAAGAATGGTAAGTTGTCCGCGAGAAAGTATATTTCAAGAATATATAGAAATCTTATGAAAAAAATTTGTTTGGTATATTTTCTGGAAAAATTATCTCCGATGAGTTCTCCTTTTTCAATTTTTTTACAAATTTCTGAGGAACGATTAATAAAATTGGCGTGGAAAAATATTCTTACGTTCTCAGCGAACGTTTCCAAAAATACTCAAAACTCGAGTAAAAATTTAGAATTATAGCCGCATGACAATCAAAATTTGCGAGTGATTGAATAATGATAAAACTTCAAAACGGTATATTTCCATGTTAAACTGATCTAGGTTCGCCAGAAATATCAATTAAATTAATAATGAAATAAAATAATTATTTATTATTATATTAAATAATTGTGAAATATCAATTTGAGACACTTAATACAAATTCAGTAGTGAAGTGTTCAATTATAGAATAAGTGCAAATTTTTCGATGCCATTGTTATCCAATATCTCGGAAATGAAGGAACAAAGCCAATTTTTTGTATAACCATTTTTTATAGACAAAGATAAGAACTACAAAAAAGATTCTCATGAAAATATCGTTATCTTCTTTCAATTTAGAGATATCGGCTAAAAACTATCTGAAGAGGAGTCTTCCTAGTTTGCCACTTGCCAAGAGAATTATCGAGTAAAAATAGCGAAACGAGAATGCATTAATGGATTTTTCAATTCGTGAGGTGCATTCCCTGGTGAAAGTGAACCATCACTTGATTATACTTCCCTACTCGTGATGCGATGGAAATCGAATGCGACCGAGCGTGGAATCGTGTGATTAATTGCGCGGGGGTTATTGGAGAACACAAATCCTCATAAGTGCATCGAAACTCACGTCAATTTCATTTGAGAAATTGCAATTCCCGGAGTTTCTCTCCGCCGTAACATCGACGAGTTCTTCTCAATTTTATGACTTCATTAAAACCAAAAAGTACCTAGAGTTTTTCGTACGGCGAGACAAAGAATCTTCTGCCAAATATACTCAGTTCCCACCAGTGAATGTTAATGCCCAATAAATGTTCTTGTGGTTAGTAAATATAATTCAGAAAAGAATTTTTTTCTCAATGTATTTTTGTATTTCGGTAATTCCTCAAAATCCCAGAAATAAAAGAAATAATCGAGTTTTCTTCATTTGCAGTTCTCTTGAAATTTAAAATAGAATATTTTCAAATATTTAAAAAAGAGACATTTATTTTAGTTATTCCATTACGGGAAAACAAAGCAAAACTGGTTTTTTAAACTAAATTATTGTAATTGGTTTTCCGTTGAAGACATGTATGTCGCACGCAACAATCAGCATTTGCATTATTATTAATAATGTAATATGTGTATTATTAATATTAAAAAAAGGAAATATTCTATATAATAAAAATTGCAGGAACCCCAGGAAGCTAAGGAGAGCCTCCAGACCCTCTCGGCAGTGGCTGAGAAAGAGTTCCCAGTGTCACCAAAAGATGAGAAAAAATCCCAGAAAGAGGACAGTGACACGACCAAGCCTGACAATGAAAGTGGCGACGAGAATGAGAACGATGACGATTACGAGGATCCGGAGTTCCCCCCGGTTCACATTAAACTACCACTTCAGCTCGACCTCGATGACCTAGCCGGTGTAAGGAATTTTCCATTCATTAACAATTGATAAAATACGTGATTAAATTTACGAGTGAAAGCGAGGGATTATTAATTTCTGCTTCTCGTTGCAGACACTCATGCAACAGGCGAAGAATCTTGTCTCCTGCGTAGTTGAACGCCGCAGGTCTGAACTTACAGATGGAGACAACAATCTCGAAAGCAGTACCAATGATCCCAAGAAACTTCAGAAACTCCGAGGAGAGAGAGTTACAATCCTCTGCGAATCTGGAGAGCCCAATCGCCAAGAGTAAATTCAATTCACATCTGTTAATGAACAAAAATCTCAGAGTCTTAACGCAAAGAAAAAAATTACAATAAAGAATTAATTATTAATTATCAATCATTATTCATTATTAAATTAATCAACTGCTGAAAATTCCATAATCATCCAGAGAAGAATCACAAATCAACAGAAACCAATTTTTTGTCTTTACAAATGAGAAAAAAAGATAATTCATTTATTCAATTATGAATTTAAAATTATTATTATACATTTAAAATATATAATTATGAATATTTCATGGGGAAGATCGGATCAGAATAAGCGAATAATTTAGATTCACATGGAATTGATTTATTCATTAAATTTTTATATTTATTCATTTTGCAGACAAGAGCAAGATCTGTTAACGCCAATAATCGTCCCTCTGGGGCCAATCCCAATGCCAATGCAGCAGCGCGATCAGGATTATCATCGTTATCAGGTTCCAAATCAGTTTCCAGTACCTGAAAATCAACGCCCACCATTCAATTTCAGAGGAATTCATCCAATGGGAGCTCCATTCAGTGAATTCAAGAGTGGACCACAGCTGATGGAGATGGGATCACCTCGTATACAGCCACGCCCTGTAAGTCGTTCTCATACATAATTCTACACCTAATGAAGACTTTACACGGTTTCAAGAAGTATATACACCAAGAAAAAATGACAAATTCTTATGATTTTATATTTATCTTCCATTTTGTCACCACCAAAACCGTCAAAGCAACACAACTCTACGAATTGTTGATGAAAACGTTTCCAACCATCCCGATTAATTTACTAGTTTCTTAATTAATTATTACCTTGTTTATTTATTAATTTTCCATTGTTCATTTTAACTGTGATTTTTTTACGTCGTGAGGAAATGAATTGATGAGATATAAATGCTGTCGTCTTACAGATGTTCTGAAGGTGTTTTAATTTTTTTTTTTTACAGCAAATGGACATTCGCCCAGTGCCATTTGAATTTCGTCGTGTTCCCATCGAGATGATCCATGGAATGAGACCACCAAGTGATCAGGAGCACCAGCAAAATGGATTCCATCAGGAGCAAAGTACATTCCGCGATGATCCACAGCCTCATGGTATGATCCCACCACCTCCACCTCCTCCATCCTCCCAGGAACTGCCCCAGGAGCACAGGATGATGCCACAAGTGATTATTCGTCAGCAAATGGAGCAAAGGTCACAGCCTCAGGAGGGCCTCGAGAGGCCAGTGTTCCCTTTCCAAGGGATTCCACTGGGAATTAGGAGAATCATTGAGCAGGTGCCTTTGGAGATTAAAAACATCATTCAGCATATTACTGGGGAGGCAAAACCTGTGCCTGTGCCTGTTCCCGTACCTGAAGGGGCTAGACGTGAGGTAATTTCAACGATTACTTCATAATATTCACTAAATCGTCTGTAATTTGAGTTCAATTGAAAGTCAGTAAGAAATATTGATTTTGAATAGAGATTTTTCTATTTATTTTTCAAATTCCATCTCCAACTGGGTGCTAATTTATTGTAATGCATTTCTTTAACTCCCCGATTTTTTCACACGTAACGAATTACAGAGAAGTTACGTTTGAGGAATTTATCGACTTTTTTTCCACTTTCAGCCAGTCCAAGATTTCAAACCCTTCCCCGAAGGTCCACGTCCCATTCCCCTGGACTCTCTGATGCTTCCAGTTGAAGTGAGGAACCTTCTGGAGCATGGAAACATTGAGGGACGTCACCAGGAAGACTCAGAGGAGCAACAGGATCAGGCAAAACCATTCCCAGGACCTGAAGACCAGGGAGAAGAGGAGGAAAAAAAATTCCCGGTGCCCGCTGATGTGAGGAACTTTATACACCAGATAGTAGAGGGTCGGGCCTTCCCAGTTGCACGATTCCCACTACCACTGCGATCTATCGAATCTCTCGATGTACCGATGGAGGTCAATGCACAAGTCATGGAATCATCTGGAACTGATGAGAATAAGGAGCAGCAGCAGGAGGAACAACAAACTCCTCAGCAGCCTCAGGCTCATGCTCTCGTTGACACCCCGGAGTTGGGTGAGGAGAAACGTCCCCACTGTAAGTATTCAATAATTCATTGAAAAATCACCCTTTCATTTTTTTGTATTCGGGGGAGAATGATATGAATTTCAATCGAACCAAATTAAATATTTAAATATAATCACCAGAATTTCCCAGGTTTTATGAATTTTCAGGGAATAAAAAAATCACGAGGGAAAATCACGAAATTTTACAAAAAAATTGCGAAAATTGAATGTAGAACTTGCACAGTTTATTATACTCATAGTTCCAGCAAAAATCATAAATTTGGGTATCGATAGCTTAAAAACAACTCGACGTAAGTGCCAAAAATTGAGTTGACCTGGAATAGAAGAGCTATAAAAGAATTTCTGCGAAAACATCGAAACATTCGGTTCGATGGGTGTTTTGGGACTTACGTACCTCTGTTATTAAGCTGTCGGTATGTTCTTGATTTTTTCAGTCGTTCAACCACGTTCAGTGCGTTCAATTTCTGACGCCCTGGCCCATCCACGTGACAAGAGAACTCGTCGTTAAACCTGCAACTGCGCCCGCTAAATTCTCAAGCAGACGAAAATTAAAATTTCCATCTTCCAGGCGCATTCTTTCAACTTTCTCTGAAGCATAACGTTGAATAAAATAACTAAAATTAAAAATAAATTACTCATTCGTGATGAATCATTCTAAACAATCAGAAGTTCATTCAGTACGTGAATAGGCTTGTTTCATACCAGATGAGGATACAAAGTGATACTTTTTCTTCCATAAGGATTGTTAGCTGTTGATCGTTTGATATTTTATGAGAGCGATGGAAAAAATAAGATGGAGGAAAGTGAAAGCGAGTGGCTACTTTATTCTAACTTCCTATGAAGCTTAATTTCTGTAACATTTCTCTTTTACAAAACTTGCTCTGTCTATTTGTGATTAAACTCGAGATAATTTCTTTTGTCGAGGCATTTTACTCTATTCTGTAGGTCCCTATTTTTTAAATTCCGACGAACCTCAGCGTTACAAACTATAATGCAATATTATAATACAATATGCGATTGAATTATTCAACTTTTAGTAATTAATTTTTCCCGATTTGTCTACAATTCTTCACTATAATACTGTATATTGATTGTATCTCCCAATCTCATAAATAAATTCATAGACGCTCGTTGGTTTAGTAAAAACTATTTTAAATGTGACATAAAATTAAAAAGTGATTAAATAATAAAAATCTGGAATAAAAAATTAATGAGTGTCGTCTCCTTTCTCTGATTAATCATCAGTTATAAAATGGCCATTAAGGACTTATCAATTAGTTATTAATTAAGTGATGGAGTAGTAATAATAGTAAGAGTATTGTCACTTTAATAACTTAATGAATAATTTATGATGGATTAAGGAAATTATTATTTTTTAATCATCTCCAGGTGCACGGGGCAACGGTAAAAAATGCTATTCTATCCTTAATAGTAATTCTTAATGAGTAATAACTTACGTAATAAATTACGGACTGAATACTTCATGGAATAGATTTCATAATTCTAGGGGACGAGCAGAGGCAGGGAAAATTTGTAGAGGATCACATTACAGGATCACTGAGGCTTAGGGATTTCCTCGAAGATTCAACCGCTCAATAAATTTTACTTTCTTAAAAAGTCATTCATCTTTATTTTCCAGTTGCATTTGTTATTCATAGATACATTTAATTTTTGGCATTACTCACAAAATCGGGAATTATGAGAATTAACTGACATTATAATAGTTCTAAAATATTAAATGATAGGGAAAAAAATAGGGTGGGCGGTTTGTTGACCCACGAGACCTCAAAAACATGTTGTCGATGTCGTAAGGGAATCGGATATATTGTTTTAACTTACGGAAACTTATACAAAGTTCTTAAAGCTGTTTATTTAACCGAGACCCGTTGATCCTTCCGCACTTCCGTCTCATCACCGGATGTCGATGTTCTTAAGTTTAATTTTCAATTTATTCTTAGAGAAACAAATTTTCGACTAGTAATCTTAGGTTTTTTTGAATAAATAAATCGGCTCCATGATCGCATACAAATATTTCAGCCATAGATTCTTCTTCGAAGAATAAATGAAATAATCTGACTTAAACATTGAATAGTGAAAATTATAAAAAGTCATATAAATAAAAATATTTCAAGGCTTATCTGTGAATTTTTGTTTCCACATTAATGAATATATCTTTGGCGGTTTTCTCACGTTCTTAATTACTCGATTACATTTTTTGGATGAATCAGTAAGTTAAATGAGAGAGTTAGATTTTCAATGAAAATCTATGAGTTTTGAAAGTTGAAATATTCTCTGTTTTTCTATCGGGAAAGTCAATAATACATCTGGTCATGGCGGTTTGAAATACTTTGATGACCAGAATGATAACTCTGAAGTTCATGGGAATTCTCCACTTGTCCACGATTATACTGATTATTCAGTTGAGATGTTGATGACACTGCACAGCTGTTGTTTATGAATACCGGAGTTGATGATTGAATTGCAAAGGGCCAGGACTATAAAAAACGATAAAAGATTCAATGAAAAAGGGTTTGTCAAAATGAAAAAATAATCATTACTCGAAAGATCACAAAATGTTTCAAACATTTTAATTTATTGTGACAATTTTCTCAAATCTGATCTGGACCAATCGACTGCAGTATTCTGGATCATATATTTTTTTAACAAGTTTGACAAAATGTGTCGTCTAATCCCGCACACCGCAGCCTAATCAGTCAAAATCCGAATTAAGGGTGTTATTATTTAAATTATTTATTGTTCTACACCCATATACAGCTAAAATAAACGTTTTTTTCATTTTTCTGACAAACTTACTATGGGATTGACGTAAAAAAATATAATTTTTTTGTGTTTATCATTGTTTATCATTATTTGATGACTCACGAAGTTTCGAGGTGGTGTGACCCTTTTTCTGCGTTTTCTCTAATCTTTTAAAAATTATAAAACTGTAGAGAAAATGCATGGAGTCATTAAATAATGATAAAATGCAACAACGCTAGATTTATTTACGTCAGTCCAATCAATCATTTCTCAGAAAACACTAAAAACCTGTAATTTTGGAGAAAAGGGAGCAGAATATCTTTAAGATGATTGAGACTCAAAGTAAAGGAGAAGATAACAATGAGAGTTATTTGCGTTTGAGTTCTGCTGGCTCTTTACTCTCTTGTTATTTCGGAGATTTTAATGGAAACGGAAACGCCAGAGTGGGAATGCCCTGATTGGCTCCACCTGGCCAGACGTAAACACTGAAGATGTCAGAATGATGGGGATGATCCCATCCACCTGGTTTTATTTCAAATATTCACGGAAATTCTACGACTGACGAGAAACCTTTTTTTGCATGAGCTTTTTCCATCGAGAATATATCATCAATTTTCATTCTTCCTCACTTCAAACCCGAATCTACTAATTCAATCTTCTCCTTTTCATCTAATTTCACAAGTTGAATTGTTTTCCATTCAATATTTAAATAGAAAATTATTTATTGAACCACGATTTTAGGAATTTATCTAGTCAGAATCAAAAGAAGATGTAACACGTTTTAAAAACCTATCAATACTTTATTGAACCTATCAATACTTTATTGAACTTCAATAAGAAATCGGTGCAGAATTCAAGTCATCAATTCAATTTTATCAATTTCGTGTAAGTTTTTGTCATTTAATTTTTTCTTCATAGCAATTGAAAAGATACAAAAAAAAATAGAGAAATTGATACGCCAGAAATTTCACAGGAAATAACAGCAGAGTCGATGGAATTGAGTAATTGAAATATCTCCATTTATTCTAATAATTCGAAAAAAAGTTTGATCTAGCAATTGAACGACAACATGATCCGCTTCTTCTGTCAAAGTTTCTGTTAATAATTCTCTCTAATTCGCAAACGGATACGAAGTATTTCCCCAATTAATCCCCCATTGACTCAATTACGAAATTGAATGAGAAAAATCGCTATAGACCGAATATCGGAGTTGACATGAAGATGATGATTTACATGAATTTACTCACCAAAGCTAGAGATAAAGACCTGGTGGAATCCGGAAGTGAGTCGTTATCATCCCTCAGAACAGCACGGAGATGTGCAATGTATGTTGCAGCAAGACGTAGAGTATCCAATTTACTGAGTTTTGTATCAGCTGGAACCCAGGGAAGAGTAGTTTTCAGGCGACAAAATGCTTTGCTCAAGACTCTCATTCTGGCACGTTCCCTGGCATTAGCTGCATTCCTTGGAGCTCTTCCTTCGATCTCGTCTTTGCTATATTTCTCGTCAGGATAATCATCCTCATCCAAAGATGTCACCGACACTCTCCTCTTTCTCGGCATTTTCACATTTACAATATAATTATCCGGTTTTAAATCAAATTCCAAAGCAAACGATTGTCATGGATCAAAAAAAATTGGACTGATTCCCCGAGTGATCGATTGGATTTTTTTTATTAAGAGAAATCGATGGGCTTGTGGGTTTTTTATTCACTCCAGAAAAAAATGTTTGAGTCAAGTTTAGGGGTCAAGGATTAATCCACTGTCTTCTAATGATCGGGGAGAACTAATTGTTAAGATGTTAAGAGGATCTAGAAGAACAGAAAGTGGTGGTGAAGACTGAAAAAAAAGAGGAGACAGAGGAAAAAAATCATGAGAAGTGGAAAATTAGTTATTGGGGCGGGATTTGGGATGATCTGGGGGCGGGCCAAGTGTCTTGGATCTTGAAGAAAATCTCTGAATGGTCGAGGGTATGACAACATGTGGACCCACCTGGGATGCTGCGTCATAAATCGAATTTTAGACTTTTGGAAAATAACGATTGACTCCAAATTTATTGAGTTTAGAAAGAAACGTCAAAAGACACTTTTCGTCGAAAATTAAATTAGCTACGAGAAAGCCTTTTTACGTTTCCTTGTGAAATCCATAGTTTTCGAGATAAATCGACAATTGTTTAGAAATTTTTATTTTGATTGTGAAAAGTTTCGAAGAATTTCGTGCAGTAGTATTCCATGAGAATTGGAAATATCAGTCCCATTATTCTCTGAAAATTGATTTTACAAGACAAAGTCATTTAAATATATTTTGGAATGTTGATTTCGGTAATATTTCACTTAGAATAGTGTTGCACTGAATGTTTGAGAATTCTGACAAATTGAACAATTCTTGCCTTTATGCGTGGGGATGAAGAATTGCTACAATTGTTGGTATTGTTATTATATAATGGGAAGAATTGTTCAATTTATCAGAATTCGTAATTAAACATGAATATTCAGTGCAGAATTATCTTGAGTAAAAAACGCGAAATCCACTTTCCAAGATATGTTCACCTGAAAACAGAGAACTATTTTATAAAATCGTTTTTAAATTACTAATGGCACTGACATTTACACTTGTCATTGACTTTTTCATGAAATTCTTCGAAATATCTCTGAAATTAAAATAACTTCAAACCAATCATTGGTGTATCTCGAAAACTATGGATTACCTAAAAATTAATTATTTGAATAAATTTTGAATATGAATTTGGAATTTGATTTTCAAATTAGCGAGGTTCCGCATTTCCCTCATTTTTTATTGATATTTTTTACCTCTTCAGCAAAAAAATATAATTCAATTCGAAAAGTATCGAGACTGAATGTATCGACCAGGCAACATCGACGCAGAATATCGAATATCGCATCTATATCGATATTCCGCAGCATCGATAAGCATACCTACAAATCTGTGACATCTGTGTTATTGTTTTTTCCTCACAGTACAATACTCTAAAATATCATTATTCGAGGCAAGTAAAATTCTTATCAATTATTTTTCATGTCAATTGCATTGATATTGTCATAATTTTTGTATTCGCTCATTCAAAAAATTACACTGAGAAAGAAAAATCTGGAAAATGAATGCATTTTTGCCAGGTGAATTTGGTTGACGCTAATATACAGGACAATTTACATTAAAATATGTGAATTTTCTGTTAATAGTAAGTTTATTTAACAAAAGTAATTATTTTTATTAGTATATAACATTTACAGTGATTCGACTGCAGCTCAATCCATAATCATAACCTCTTCGAGTGATAAAAATAAATTCCTCTGAGATGAATGAAAAAACTGTGGGAACTCTGGAAGAAGAAGCATTAAAGAGGAAAGAGAGACTCGCAGAGTTGAAGAAGAAGAAAGATCATTGCGAGCAAAAAAATACAGAACAGAAAACCAATTTACCCAAGTAAGTCTCCCCACAAAATCTCAATAAAGCAACTGTTCTGCTGCGACGATTATTGTCATTGTTCATTGTATTTGTTGATGGAAATGAAGCGTTTTTTTGCAGACCAAGATTCAGAAGTTACAAACCTCAAGATGAGAATCTAAAGGAACATGTTTTGGAGACTGGAATTTCAGTCGAATTGGAGAAGGAAAACCCTGAGGAAGGGACGAGGTCCAAGGCTGTCATCGAAGAGCTTGTGAGTATGAAAGATCTGCACAAGTATCTGTATAAGGATATTCGGCCCCTTTTTAGCTAAAATTATCAGTTTTTTAGTTTGCTGACAAATTGTTTATCAGGTTGACCCGAAAAAATATGCCATTTGTGCATTTTATAATTATTTCATGACTCATGGGGTTTCATGAGCGTACAACATCTTTCTTGTGTTTTTTCTAAAGTTTTAATAATTTTTAAAAAGCTTAGAAAAACGTGGGAAAATTATTGCATGATCGTGACATTTTGGGAGTCGTTAAATAATTATAAAAATGCAATTAAATGATAAAAAATCAATTAAATTTAGTTTCTCGTCATTTACTTCTATCTTTTTCAGGACATTGGGAGTTTAGCACCCCGAAAACCTGATTGGGATTTAAAGCGTGATGTATCGAAGAAACTGGAAAAACTGGAAAGGCGAACGCAAAAAGCAATAGCAGAATTGATCATCGAGAGGATAAAAAAGGACAAAGAAGATATAGCAGGAATTGTCACCCTGACTGGCAATTCAAGTATTAACGACAAATAGACACAATTTGTAAATAATTCTAATTCTTAAAATTGTATTCTTTCAACGAATGAGTCAGTTTTCATTGATAAATTCTATGGATTTTTATACAGTATAACAGTACATGACGTTGGATGATTGTTAAATTACGAACTAGCCAGCAGTTCATTATCCCCACAACAAAATATTCGTTTCTATAGACTCCATGGCACATTCGTGCCTCTCAAACTTATGACTATTTTGTTTCTATTCAGGATAATGTTAAGTACTCAAGAAATATCTGGCACTTGTATCATGTTTACACATTCATAAATTCATCGATTCACTAACGACACGATAAAGAGAAATCATTTGAAAAACTTTTCTTCCCCTCTTGGGATGTGCACCAGAATTAGTTACATAGAAAAAAAATAATAAATTTTCATTTTTCTATCTAAATTATTATTCTAATTTTCCGTATAGAGATTCTTCACCTTCTAATTTGCATTTATTAACGATTTTCAATTAGATGAAAGGATTCGTATTTTTTAATTTAGGCAGCAAATTTCTTGGAAGAATGAATTGCATAGAAAATTAATGTCTGGATGCACTGATATTTCCAAACTAATCTCCCTGACTGTTTTCGAGTTATCTAATTTGATATGCTCACTAGTGGATTGAACTAATTATTATCTGAATACACTTAAAAAATTGATGCAATAGGCGCACATTCCGTGGTGTGTTGTGAAGAGCACAGCTCCTAGTGCAAATGGAAAAGAGGGATGTAACCTAGATTGGCCAGAGCCATCGGCATTATGAGAATTGTCCTCTGGGAGAGGAATATTATGATAGACCACTCTGTCCTCCAGGGGCTGGATCGGTCGGAAATTGTGCAAGAGCTTTCCATCCGGACTGTGAACATTTCTGAACGCAGCGATCTGCAAAATCAAAATTATCACGAATTTTGTCTTCATTTTTCCTTGGAAATTCAACAAGTTTATAACGAAGGGTCCGTTATTCTTACCTGATTATGGGAGAGTCGTAAAGGTTCTTTGAAGTCGATCCAGGTCACGACTTCTGAGCAGGGAGGAGTTGTGAGGGAACCATTGTACGTGAAATAATCCTGGAGAACTGATGGATTTGGAAGGAGCATTTCCTCCATGACGTGTTGATTACGGAGACTTGTAGAGGAACCCACAGCTTCAATGTCGGGTAATGAATCAATGATCGATGCATAATTATGATTGTCATCGTCACTTGCCTAGAACATCGAGCATCACTTCAGTTTCGAGGATTGGAAGAAAAATGAAATGGGCATTTTGAATATATATGGGTGCGGAACATCCTTAACAATAAAAATATTTTCTTAAGATTTTCTCAATAATCTTGATGCATAATTTTCTGTAATAATATCACCATTGCTTCAAAATTATAGTATATATTCTGATAGAATCGCGTAAGAACGATAGCGTTAAATTTTACACACTAAAAATCAACAAAATACATTTATAACATGCGTTCCTCTGCAGGGAAGCTTCAGGAAAATATCTGATTAATTTTGCATTCTCCACTCAGATTGGAGCCAAGCAAAACATAGAATTTCATTAGAAATAATTTTATAGATTTCCGAAATGAAACTGCTCGACAGTCTCGAAAACTGATTAGCTGAAACCCAAGTCGGAAAAATAATCATTATGGTAAATATTTGTTAATTGGAATTACCTCGAAGAAATATGCCAGTACTGTTAAGCCGTCTGAATGATGAATGGCTTCTTGAAGGGATTTATACGTTTTCTTGTAGAAGACGACGTGCAGTTCCATAGCGAACGAGTGATTATTGATCAGATCTTCTGATCCTTCGTGATCATTTGCTCCCCAGTGGAAGTGAAGCTGCTCAAATACGTACTCGTGGGAACCCAGAGGGCCACCAATTATTGATGGACGTTTAGTACTGTTAATCTTTAACATCACTGTGAGGAGATAATCAAATTGATTTAATTTATTTAATTAGAGATTTTTTAAAGCCGTGCAACTTTGGAGGAATTTAATTAATTACCCGTATGTCCGTTATTCTCAATATAAAAGTCTCGCTGTGAATCGAGCTCTAGGAGTTCTAGCTTTGGTAAACTAATATTCTTAACAATGTGTTCCTCGATGTTAATTGGCGACTGATGTTTCCCCACACATTCGTCGTAATCCTTCCCCCAATGTTGTGGACCTGAATTACAAAAAATTAATTATCCACCCTATTCTGTTGGAAATTGAATTCTTTCATCAATAGATAATATTAGAGCCCTCAGAGGCAAGAGAAATGAGGAATTGAAGAGAAAATGTCTTCACTCTAGCTCTGGGTGTTCATATATCATCTTTGAGGGAAGAAAATTACTTTTTTCCTCAATGGCATTCAGTAATGGAACGTATCATTTTGATTAGTAGTAATAAAAAAATGGAAAAACCACAATAAGTAATTTGTGACAGAAGTGACACTTTGTAATTTTAAGGGAAGGTTTTTAATTATTAAATTCATTGAATTTTAATTCCACCAATTTCAAAGGTCTAAGCTTACCATGAAGTCCTTCGTATGTGAAATCGGCAAGTACCAGATTGGCATCTGCAATCATAAATAAAAATTGAATTAAATGTAACAAGATCTTCAAATTCAAAATTTAATTAATGAAAATTTAAAAAAATACAGTTCCAACTAGAGTATTCCAAATTACGTTAATTATTGTTAAGAAAGACATATTAGAACAAATATCAATATTTTGGAAAGTTTAGTTCAAATATTATGGAGTGAATTAAATTGTTTTTTAAATTTTATCATTCAGTTTAGTTAGAAAATTAAAAAAACTGAAAATATCGAAAAGTGGAGCAACGGACATACTGACATCAAATTAAAAATTGATTAATCGCGTGAATATTAGATAGGCTGGAGTCACGATCGCCTGTCGTCAGCTGATTTATCGCGGATGCATGTGACCAGCTCACAAGTCATGCGATTTATCAATTAAAAAATTAAGAGTCCCGTACTGTTTCTAGAGATTACTCCCATTTACTCCCGCGGCTCATGAACGCGAACGTCTCAACAATTTTTCTTTAAAGATTAGTTAACATTGTCAACTCAGTACAAAAATAGAGAGTGGAGTCCATTTTTTTGCGATTAACAATCATACCTTCCAGACAAATCCATCAACTCTCAATGGAAAACTGTTATCCCATTTGATCAATAAATCGATGAATCATCAAAAATTGAAGTCATTGTAAACAATATTACGAGCCATAAAAATTTATTTTTACATTCCGCTTTAAAGTTACGAGTTTCGATGAATATCAATGAATTTTCAAAGAAAAATAATATTCTTGACTTTTCAGTAAATATTTCATAAATTTTTTTTTATTTGCTGAGATGCGCGACAATTTATTTCTCCTCAGATTTCATGACTTCTTTAGTCAACTATTGATTGCCATTGATTATCGAATTAATAATTATTAATTAGCGAAGGGGTTCCATGACATTTTAAATTTTGCAGATAATTTTGGAAATCGATTCATGACAGTATGGGTCAATATCGCAGGTACAGTTCCGTTGATTAATTACTCAATTAGTCTCGTCTGAGAACGATAAAACTGTGGTAATGGGTTAAATGCGGTTGGAGTTAATTAATGTTTCTCCTTTTAGGCGTGAGGTTTCTTCCAATTTTGACGAATTTCGTGTCGCTACTGAATTGCGCAAGCATTAATCTAAAAAAAAAATGGTTACATGACACCATTGACCTTGTTTCCAAATCCATGCACAATGTCATCATCAATCATCAAAAAAAATTCATCTGGTTGATTTTATTATTTAATTAATCATCCACAAAAAATTGGGACTGATTACAAATCTGTCTGCACTACCAAAAACCACTCGGTAATTTTCTAAACCTGTGACATTTGACGTAGTTTATACGTCAGAAGCTCGAAAATTGATTCTGCAGTCAAGTTTTGTGAGGACAGTATATATATGTACTCGAAATTCACATATGTATCACTATGTAAATATCTCTGAGGTTCAGAGACTCCTCCGAATAATTTCCCCAGAGTTTTCCAATCAAGAATTTTTATGTTGAAAATATTTGCAAATCAACCAACGAATGAGAAGAGATTTGTAATAAAATAATTTCAAATGTTTAGTAATCATGAAAATTTTCAATCCGATATTCAATAAAAAATTTAAATATTTCTGTAGAATTTTTGCCTAAAGAAAATGGAATATTTTTCCTAGCTTCATTGCATTTTTCATTAACTGTCAGCGTTCAGCAATAAATAATATATATATAATAAATTAATTATAATCAATGATTGTTCTCATCTCTAACTTGAGAAAGGTCAGAAGATATTGGAGAAATAATTACGACCTCCATGAAATTCTCGCAGTTAATTATTGAATGCAATTCAATTAAAAAAATTTAATTGCACATATCATCAAATGACTTTAAATCTCTCTTAACGCAGATCTCTGAAGAATAATCAGTTAATTATCCCTGAGACAAAACAATTCACGATTTAATTCGCCTGATATTCATAATTTCTTATGAGAAAAAAAATTATATAATCCGCAATTGCACCCACATCTGTGCACAAATATGTATGAAAAAATGTTGATCTTACAATAATTGTGATATTTTATAAATCCTTCACCTAGTTGGCAAATCCCTCATGTCATCAAGGATAATGGTAAAACGCGCCTCCCATAATCACGATAATTATGTCTACCCATCGAGCTAAAAAATTCAGAAAAATGGATTTCACGTTATTTGTCAGGCTTTTCTATCTTTTTCTGGTCATTACATGTTCTGCACGCTCTAGTTCAATCGCGTGACTGCAATCGTCATCTTTTATTCACCACGAGCTCTGGTCGAGCCAAATTATGTTCGAATACTTTTATCATACGAATCTATCTTTAGTCCGTTTTGTTGACCATTTCAGTTTGAGACTTCTCAATTGGGATCTGTGTGACGAGAACACCTGGAGTCCTTCCTCTCCTCATGCGTTATTGAATGAGAAGAAAACCCTTGAACGACCAAGGAAAATTACCAGTTTAACCCATAAAAAGTTACATCTATTTTGAAAATATATGTAATATCTGTCAATTTCACATTTTTCTACTTTTGAATGGAGAAATATGTAATTATGAAATTTAAGGAGTTATTGCCGATATCTTCTCATTTTTCAAGTTTTTTGGAAATTTATGACGAACAGTTGATAAAATTCATTTTTATCAAACAATTTCTCACTTGTTTGCATTTAAAAAATCATGATCGATTCGATTTTCATATTTTTTATGTTAGGGAAGATGAGTGTAAAACGGACACTCAGGGCAAAATGGACACCGCGAAATTTTTTTCATTCTCCCGATTTTTTAATTTTTCCATTTTCATCATTTTTTTTGTTCGCATCATGAAAAAAAGACCAAATTAAAGGCTTGCATTAGTAATAATAATAATGGAGTATTATAAGACATAGACGTGGCTATATAAACCGGGCGTGGATAAATGAAAGTTGAGGAGCCACAATTTCAATTTTTCCATTTGGAAATATATGCAGAATTACGAAATCTAATGAAGATTCAAAATCATATTCAAAATATTCAAATAAATTTCGAGGGTGTCCGTTTTGCCCCCACCCACCCTAAGGAATATTTTCATGGACAGAGTTTGTCCTTTCCTGTGGTTATATTCCATTATATTCCATATTCCGTAATTATTACCACCGGACGGGGTAATTTTCGGGAATAAATTTCTGGAGGAAAAATAGTTTTTTTTCTTAAATAGTTCGTTTTTCCCCTGCCACCCCTACTTTTATCAAATTATAATCATCTTCCTATCAATCGCGAGATTTTTTTTGAATAAAATTCTTTCCAGTTTTCAAACCAAACGAACAATGAAAAAATCTTTTCGCTTTTTGCACATTTTTGCACTGGAGGTGGGGAAATGATAATTGAAATTCCCATTCATCACGTTCTTTTATACTATCTTTAACCCCAAATCTCTCGATTCATGTAATTCCGTAACCCTCATTATCGGCACCGTTAAATTTAGATTCATTCTTGCAGAGTTTTTTTGGGTTATCAGAGAGTGGAAAGGCAACTCAATTACTGTTAGGAAAATTATTCTTGAATTTTCAAGTAAATAGAACTTTCCATTTTTCGCAACGATGAATTTATAAGTTTAACTTAAAAATCAAATATTCCAAACATTCCCTCGAATTCTAATTTTATTTATTTATTATTAGCTGAAATGCAAATGTTTTACAAAAAATTTAACTTAAAGTTATGTAATTTCCACTTAGATTTTCCTATATAATTTTTAGAATTAGTATTACCGGTCGAGGTAATTTTCGGGAATAAATTTCATTCCCCGAATGGAGAGGGTAATGACACAGTAAACATGCTGAAGTGGCATATTTTCTTAAATGCCAACTGCAGTTATGACTCAGTTGTCTTAGTAATACGAGCACCCATTGTTCACCTTTTCCTCGCACTTTACTGCTCTATTGTGTTTACCCAGTATCTCCTCTGACTCAGTGATCTCAGTTCTGATTTATCATGGGTAAATCATAACAGAATATGATTCAACCACTCTGAAAAGACCTCGTAAATAAAAAAAAAACTACCAAAAAAAGAAAGAAAACTTTGCTCTGCAAATTCTGTCGCGAGAAAGAATGCAAATTTCTACAAGATTGCTCTAAAAATTTGTTCATTCCGCAGGAAGAGGATGTAACAAAGTGAAACTGATTCGAGGAGAATAACTTAATTATATAATTGTTTAAAAATTCGAGGTGGAGGTACCGCCGTCTTTGCCGCAGTAGAGGGGGCATTTGAGCAAGATGGCGCGAATCACTTCGTATTTTTGACGATTTATATAAATTAGTTATTCTTTTCAAAATGAATAAATTCATTCAATTTTTTACCAAAAATTTGTCTTCCTTTTTGACTGAAAATTTATTCCTACACCATGTTAATGGAATAATTCTACCAAATTTCCATCGTATCAAGAAATAAAAAAAAAATATCAATTAAATATTTTTCAGCAATTTTCATCTTTTTTCATTTTATTCAATAAAAACCTTAAAAAATAGAATCGACGACGACGAAGAACAATTGAATCCACCAATAAAGGAATAATCTTGCAATCGTAATTGACACCTTCCTCTCGCATCATATAACAATGAACAATAATAATTCACATGCATGCATAATCAATCATTTTTTTATATGTAGATAATAAGAATGGGGAATGGGATCTGCTTGTCAAGGTGAAGGACTTTCAAAGCTTAGAAAAAAATGTGTAACGGTACAAGCCAACCAGAAATCTCCGGTTCTCATTGTCTCTAACTAGCCTGGGATGCACTTGGGTACGATGTCCCGTTGACACGCTAATTACGTACACGGTATACAACTCATGAATGCCGACTTCCGGTCAACCGTGGACGAATGGATTTCATTCAATCATCAATCCATCGCGATGAGTTGATTTATGTACCGGTAGCTAACGAAATCCTACGAACAATGGAAATTCTTCATATTGAATAGGAATTCTACATTCCGATTCTCCATTAAGGAAGTTTTACGCATCATTCAGCGGAAAAATTAATAATTATTTTATGTCATTGCGGCCGGTAAAACGCTTTCGGCCACAATGACATAAAATAGCATCATAGTCACGGCGAAAAAAGTGATTCTAACTCATGCGCGTTATAATCCTCGTCTCCGACTCGGACTATAAAGTCGCATTCGTCAGATTCCTTTTTTTCGTCCTAGGCGTGAAATATACTATTTCGAACTTGGATTTCGGAAACTGTTTTATTTCAGAAATTTCTGACAAATTCCAGATGGAAATTTCCTAGCCGCTTTTCAAATGTTTTTTTTCTAAATTTCATTTAATTGTTTTTTATAAATTTTTTATCAAATGATTTTATTTCGATTGCTAAATTAGTCTTTCAGAGTTTTTTGTTCGTCTGCATGATTGTGGAAATATATCCGGATGCTATCCACTGGACTCTGGCCGAAACCCGAGTGGAAAAATAATTCCGTTGGATACCATTTACACTTCGGAATTAATCAAATATTTGGTGGGTTAAAGGTACCAAATATAAAAGCGTGAAGGATTTTCTGTTTAATTTAACACATTCATTCCAATATCCGATAATTTTGAAGTACTAGAGCTATTCCCACTTTAAGTTCTACAATAAATGACGGATTTTCGGGGGTTTCCCCGGGTTCAAAATTCCCTCTTCCAGAGCTTTTATATTTTCGGGTTTAGGGAATATTTATTTCCTTGATGTGGGACCTTTCCTTCTTGTTCTAACAAAAAAAAGGAAAGTCCTGGAGGGACTTTCTCGGTGTGAGTTTTTCCCAGACAAAATCTGTTGACCCGAGAGGGTCTAAAAAGGAAAGACCAAGGATTAAGGGTAAAAGGGCAAATTCTATTTGTTGTAAGTCTCCGTTCAGAAAACTATCTCTTGATTATCTGAAGTTTGATAATTCTTAATAATAATCCTCAGCCCTGAAAATACTCCAAGTGTCTATTTATTTCGATCTCCATAATCCAATAATAAAAATCCCCATTTGTCTATTAAAAATTAAAATTTCAGAAAAAACGAAAATTGAATCATTAAAAATCCGATTAAAATATTGTATTGTATTCTCTCCCAAAAAAATTGCAATTTTAGTGACAATTACGGCTTCTCCCAAAAATTCCAGCAAAATGTTGGAATTTCAACTAAACCAACGCGAAACACCTTTCACAGGTGTGTCTTTCATATTAGAGAATCATGAAAACTTTTTCAGAGTGTAATATGAATCGATTTCGTCGACCTTCATAGTGTAATCCTTTTAAAATCAATTTTTTTCCATTGAAAAAAGTCAAAATACTGTTTACGGTTTTAATTGCTTCTCGTCGGTGATTGCCGAGTGTTGAGACTCTTTGAAATATTCCGCGAGTTTCTATAAACATATTTAAACATGTTACGAGATGAGCGGCTTCTTCTGATGGAAGCATGGAGTTTTATCACTCGGAATCTCATTCGTGTACGAAAATCCGCTATTATGATAATTCGGAGGCGACACATTAAGTTCTCCAATCGAATTACCTCGATTACATGAGATTTAACCGAATGGAATTTGTCTGAAGTACAATCGATAACCGTTATAATTAATTTGCAAAAATCCACCGCCCATTCATCACGAAGGAATTTGTAAATGCAACTGACTTCGAATACATAGATGTATGTAAATACATGAAATGTAATTCAAGAATCTTAAATACCAGAAATGTAAAAATATAACATGCAGACAGTAAATGCTCTATAGAATCGATTCCATTTTCAATAAATTAAACGAGGGAATCTAATTACACTGTCACGAAGGCATCGAAATTTTTCATTATATGGGTTTCAAGTAAATTTCAATTAAAAACACTCGGTAAAGTTCTAATTTATCCTGAAAATTCCAGAAAAATTCGATTTTTTGTTAAATAATTATTGATTTTTCAATGACAGTTTGAATTTTTAAGCGCGACGTGATAATTAAACATCAAATAGAATAGAATTTTTAATAGATTGAAAATTGAGGGAAATTATTGGTCGAGTTGTCAAAATTTTCACGTTTTTTCGGTGCCGTATCGACTTAAAAATTGAAATCATTAGAATATTCATGAATTTGAACGATTCGTTAATGAGGAATTGTTAAAAATTTCACGTCTTTTTATTTGTTTGTTTAATTTTGATTAAGGATATGTGTAGATAATTTGCAGGATTATGATGATACAATCTGCCCACATCGCTCCGATTTGTTAATTTCTTCGGGTGATGGACGACATAATTGGCAAAAAATTGTGGTAATTACTTGCACTCACAATTTTCTAGCACACATTTTTAAAATGCTAGTGGTAGTGCTCTAGTTTCAGCTATTTTTATAAATTTTCACATCGCAATAGGGATTTCCATTTATTTAATGACGTTAATTTTAGTTTCGATTGTTAACATTAAATTAGAAATTTAATCGTCGAAAACTCGTGCTATTTTCCATAAACATAGTCCTATTTTATTATTTCCTCAAAATTGCATAAATTTACAATTGAATATAAAAATTCGAAGTTGAATTTAACCTGAAGTATAAAAAAAATATTTATGTTTTTGTTAAAAATTGTCGTTAATTGTTCTAAGGATTACCCTAAGATATTAATAATAAAAACCGTGAAAAAGAGGTGAAAATATCAATTTAATAAAATATAAGTTGCATTTAAAAAATGTTTATTTTCCGTAGAATCGGTGATTTCTGTAACGTCAGGGTAAATTTGACAGTGAAGTTTTCTGGGTGTTCTAAATCCCTCGGTAATTCATTAATGATAATAATGTACTTACGCGATAATAGAAATCCAATGAGAACGACGTGAATCTCCATATCGTTTAAATTTCACAGACTTATGTATTGAAATTGAATGAGCACTGGAAAAATGTTGAACTTGTGATTTTGCGGCGTCTTTAAGGAGTCGGAGGAGCCGATTGAAATGGCCGATAGAAAAAGAATCCCCTGACTTTAGACTCAGCCAAAGAAATGGCCAGTGAATCCTCCTACTCTCTTTCGCATTCCCTCCTTTGACCTCTCCCGGTTACTACCTCTATCCCCCCAGTTATCGCATTCTCACTATTTATTCTTCACTATCACAATATTCCGTACCGCGTTGAGTAACAAATTCCATTTTCCATATTCCACATTTAATTATCCAATTTTTTCATTGATTAACGTCAACGGAAAATATTTCAAAATTCAAATTCATTTTCTTTCGCATCATTACTATTATTACCAAATTACCACATCCTCACTATTTATTCTCCACTATCATCACATTTTACTCACTTTGAGTAACTAATTCTATTTTCCATATTCAAAATCTAATCCTCCAATTTTTCCATTGATTAATTCCAACGGAAATATATAATTATTCAAATTTATTCGTTCCACCTCAGTAAATGTTAATTCTACGGAAAGTATCAGTTATTAATCTCTGATGAATCTCATTCTTGTTCATGCTATTAATAATCTATCGCCGAAAAACCAAAAATACTCATTAACCCAATTTTTAAATTATTTTCACCAAAATCTATCAAATTTCATTTTTTTCTTTCTTTTAAATGATTTTGAAATATGATGAGGTGAGGAATAATTCATGTGATGCCTTTTGAAAAGTCGAAAAAAATTATTTGTGTAGCAAAAAATTTTAATTTACGAATTTACCGGTTTAAATTTTAGTTTACGAATTTACCGGTTTAAATAGGAATGATTTCCACGAGTTATTGTCGCATGTTGTTTTTGTGAATGTTGTGACTTGAAAAGTCGAAAGGATACTGAATACTCGAGCGGAAGTGTTTGAAGCTGAAAAAAAAAATTGAACACTCGAGTGGCTACGACACCATTTTCCTACTTCTCATTATTTCTCTCTCGATGTGAAAACCAATTAAAAAAAAAATAAAGCAGAAGAAATGAACTCAAAATACGTGAGACCTGAAGACTTTCTCGAGGTCTCATTCAGTGAAAAAATTGTTACAAGAAATAGAAACTTTATTTTCCAGTGAAAAATAAAAGTTTCAATTTTATATTTCTGTCGGTAAGACAGAAATAATCGAGTAGATTTTCTAATTGACCAACAAATCTTCAATTGGTGAATGTACTAATTGATCTCCATATTCATTAGAAAAATTAAGCAATATTGAATAATCCCGTGCAATAACTACTTAAATTACAATTACAATGCAATTACAGTTTCCTTTATAATTGGGACTTTATAACTTTTTTTTATAACGATTTGTTTTTTCAATTAGATATATTATTCTTACTAAAAATCAACTTACTAACAAATCTCGAACAACATGAAACGTAAGAGGATCTCTTTAATCTATGAAACTCTCTCTAAAATTTTGGGATCTCTTTGCTATTAACTAAAGTCCCAGATTGAGGTCATCATTATCATCACACAGGGGTAGTTTTCGATGAGTTAATCATAGTTAACGCGTAGTTAAAGTTAAAATTAATATCCCTGATTGGATGGGCTCAGAGGTGGGGGGTCTTTTAAGAAGCGACTAACTTATCGAAAAATTGGTTCTTTTGAGAAAATTAGAACATTTTCCCTGACACATCCTGTGTGATACATCCTATAACACATCCATACTGGTATTGTAAGAGTATGTTATGAATATATTAATACGAAAAAAACTTACTAATGTATATAAAGTACGTAGATATCAATGTCTATGGAATGACAGTGTAAATAATTCATAATTAATTGAGCAATTCGAACAAAAAAATATACGAATTTTTGGATGGGGTCTACCTTGCCGATGTAACCTGCAAAAGGCGCCAACCTAAAGAGCAGCGGAGATATGTTCCCCTCCAATGAGAACTTCCGAAATTCCCCTGTAGCCATTCAGAATTCACTTGCCCAGTGCTGCAACTACCTTTCTCGAAAACGTTTGTCCCGGGGCCCAGGAAAATCCATTTCAGTTCACCAATCGCCCGAAAACTGCTGCAGTCTGGATGTGTTCGTCAGTGTTGCATCGTCGTGTCATATAACAAGTCCTCCCATTGATAAAACCCAAAAACCCCTCATCTAAAATCCCCCAAGTCCACTCCACCCTTCATTCCAAAAATTTCTAAAAATCGCTCCAAATTTTTTCCCCCGCGTCCGGTACAAATAAAATCCAAAAATTCGGATAATCAGTGCCAAGTGCTCGAATGTTCCTGTCCGTCACCAACAAAAGAAGTAAACAAAACAATTATTATATACAATTATTTAACGATGAGTCCCTGAACTAATTAGCAAGTTTTCAAAAACTCATCCGCAGGTTGAAGAGGAAAAATGGGAAAAATCCAGCGAAAAGGATCTGGTTTTTTTTCTGGTGGAGAGGAAGAAAGGAAAATAAAAGTAGCGGGAGTGCAGGGAAAAAGAGCGGTTTAGTGTTTGTCCGATAGAGAGAGATGTACAATACCTCAGACTGTTGTTAGCCTGGTGTTTCCCCCCTTCTCAATACTATTTTCCATGTATTGAAGTGAGAAGGATATGTTAAGGTTTTAGAGGGAGTGAAAACGCTCTTTGGAGCTGTACTCGTACTGCTAGTGCTTCGACGTCAAAATGTCGCTGAAAACGCCAACGCGGACGGAGTAATTGTTCGGTATTTGTTGATTATTCATTCAGTTAACGGTTTTTATTTCACGTGAATTTGGGGAGTACAGTGACTCCGGGTTTCTCTCGATCTCGAGGTAAAATTGGGGTCTGACGAGAATTTCATCAGGGGATTGGGAGATTTTTTTTTGAGAGCTCGAGTGTTCGGGCATCTTGTATACATCCACCAGATTTTAATTCATATCCTTTTTCCTCAAGTGCCACCACTAAGGAATCGATCTGTTAATTAGATCATTGTTGGCTATCTCCAATTGTTGTCAATTGTGTTTATCATTTTTTCGGGATTAACTGGTGCTTGTGGAGGTGAGATTTTTCAGGGGATTCGGAGGATGGAATTTTTGTCGGGGGACCAACGGAGAGATTTTTTATTTTCGAGTTTTTCGGGGGCTCTACACTCGTTTTTCAAGGCCTCTCGGGAAATTTATGACAGGGGAGAGTCAAGGGGCTTTGAGAAAATTTGGGGGAAAAACTCGGAATTGCGGAGACGTCGGACGATCGATTTTTATCGGGTTTTGGATTTAGTTAATCTTTTCTGAGGGGATCTCAAAGAGTTTTTTTCCGCAAGATTTTCGTTTCTTTGTTGGCAGGCGAGGGTGATACTGAGGATTGTGGACACGAATGGATGGGGGTAAATTGTTGGGTTTGCCGTGGGTTAATTGGACGGGAAAAATCGATGGAAAATTGTCGTCTGGGAACATTAACCCCGAAATATCGACGCTGTGGTGCATCTGAGGTATTTCTAGGGAGAACAAAGACAGGGGGTCCATGAGTTTTTCGGGATTTTTGTTTATTGTTGGGGGATGGGGCATGTGGCCCTCACCCTCATTTGACCTGTGACAAAAATTATTTCTTCCTGTTTTCAGGGTTGGGGAAAATATTTGTTTATTTTCGTGCCTATAAAAATTTTCTTGTCTATTGAGGAGAGGAAATTATTTTATGAATAATTAATTTGATTTCGGAACACAACTGGAGTTTTTGCCTTTATTTTCTTCCAGTTCTTCTTCCAGTTTTTTTTTTGTTGCAATGAGTTTCTAATTTTTGGCGTAATTTCAGTGAAATCAGTTTTGAGAAGAAATGTGAGAATTTTTTTGTAGAAATTTGAGGGGCTTCAGAATTTTTATAACGTTTGTGGGTTGAGAATTGAAGTTAAAGGATAGCATAAAATCTGATGTTTTCCCGTGAACTATTGAGTAATCCTTCTTAATGATGCAATTAACTCAAGTCTAGAGAATTTTGGAATTGCATTTTGACGGATAGTTTTTATCACAAGATTTGTGAATCACAGAAAAAAATTCTGCACATTTCTTCTTGTGATTTAACAATGCTTAAGGAATCTAGACTTTTCACTCCAATATAATGGATTTTTGTGAGATTACGAATTATCTCGATGACAAGGTGTTTTAGAGAACAATACCGATACGTTTGCCTTGAGAATAATCTAGTTACAAAAAAGGCGAGACTTCTTTTTCCTGAATCGCTCATACCCGACGTAATTGGCTAATAATCAATTAGGATAAAAGCTTTATATTTATTTTCTTTATAAAATTGGCTCTTGAATTTCTTTACTCACAAAGTGAATAATTGATCTTGGAATTTATTCAGTACTTTATGCATTCCTCCATATTGTTTCTTATAGTCGTCAATTGGATTTGAAAATGTCTGACTAATATTCTGATTTATTTTCACAGTTGGATTGGATTATTCAATATAATTGAGAGACGTTCAAAATCATTGAGGGTGCAGTGTTGAAGCTAAGGAGTAAAATGGTGTCAACTCGTCAATCGAGTAATATGGGCAGTGGAAGTGGCTCTGGGAGAGTCAATGATACAGTTGAAGCTGGACCAGCACGTAGACATCACACTCAGGTCAACTCAGCCTCTGCTGGCAGTGCTAACCCATCACATGAGCCAGCACCAGTTCACCACATTAATCTTCTCAATCTGCCACCTGAGTTGCTCGACAAAATTCTATCGTCATTGGATTTGAATACTGTAGCACAATTACGTTTGGTGAGTCACAAACCACCATTATTCCATCCAATAAATGACATCCACTCAAGCAAATTGTTTCCCCTGCAGCATAACCATCAATTCAATTTTTACAATTTCCTAGCATCGCTTAAGCTAAAAATGTTGATTTTAATTAGAAATTTAATCAGCTATGAAAAACGATTCTCTCTTAGTTTCACCTTTGACTGATAGTTTTCGAGATAAATGACAAATAATAAAAGTGCTAGGTGGATTAATTTTTGTGATGGAAAAATAGTTTTTATTTCGAATTATCATTGGAAAAATTAACTATTGAAAGAAACCTCTGAGGTGGAATTTAGGAAGATAATTATGTTAATTGATTACTTCCAGGTATGTCGGCAATTCAACATGGTATGTGGTTTTCGACTGAATACAACGTTCCAGCGTCTACAGTCCCAGATGTTGTCGCGTTTTCAGTCAATAAAAGCCCAAATGCCACGTCGAGAATCAGCGAGACGCAATCATCCGCTGTCCTGTGAGTGCGATATCATCGAGACACTCCACATGAGACTTACCCTTCTTCAAATGAGCTTTGGAAAGCACATCGAGAGAAAGCACTGCTGCTTCTTTCCAGGAGAGGTGGGGTGGAGGCTTGCACTTGTCTTATTTCTTTTAAATCAATTTATATCTCCTTCGATATTGGTGTTTTCAGATTCTTGACGAGGTTTACCGCATTCTTCATTACGTCAAGACAACAGCCAAGTTAACCAAGCCTTTTAAAGTTACTGATGAACTTTTTGATTTAACTACGATGGCTATGGAGTACTTCAAAGAAAAGATTGAACCTACTTTGCCAGAAATTTCGTATTTCGGACCTGATTTTCTTGATCTCGCTGGGACTTTCTCATGTAAGTGCATTATAAAATATATTTATGGAAAAAGCGTCATTAATAATTGTGTAGCCAAATGAAAATAACATTGGGGTCAAGTTGAAATGATGAGTTGACGGAATACTCTTTTTTAATGGAATACGTTAATTAATAACGTGGATTCAATGATTTTAGCCTCAGGCAGTGTCTCCAAGCCGTTCATCTGCATGGACTCAGCACCCCTGAGTGGTGACAGCAATAAAGACAGTGGCAGTGGTGGTGAATGTTCCCCGAGCCACAGACCCGAGGACCCAGGTCTAATGAACAACAATGTTCCACCACCGCAGTCCAACATGTTTTTACGCAAACGCATTCGCAAGATCAAACAGGGCATGAAGAGGTACAACAGCCAGTTATCCATGATGCGCAGAGATCTGAGGAACTGCAAGGTTAAAATTGCTGATCAGCAGAAGCAGATTGTAGAGTATGCCAATCGTCTTGACGATCACGATAAGAAGAATGAGGAAACATCACGCAAATTCAGCACTTTACTCCAGGTATTTACTAAGGTACAATTTTTATTTTTAGGTTTCAACTTTTTATTTGTGGTTTTGTGAATTCATAATTAATTTAGGAATGCCATCACCCAGTTTTTTCTCTGTATAATGGATGTATATAGTTGTGTGTTGTCATAAATTTTCATAAATTTAATTATCCGTATAAAAAAAATCAACAGGACGTACAAACACATCTACTATCACTGAATTCTCACAATTAATTATGAAATTCTGCATGGGGAAATTGATGAACGCTGTTTGAATTAATAACGTATAATTTCTGAATAAAATGTAAAACTAAAATGACTTTTTCCCCGTTAGGAACTCAACAAATGTAAAACAGAGTTGCAATACTGGCGGTCAAAATCCCCAGCGATATCAGTGTGCAATGGTTGCGGTCAATCGATGCCAATGCCAGCTGAGGATTTCCAGGCACTGGCAAATCAGGGCGTCCTCTCTGACTCATTCACCGATGCCCTAAATTTCATCCCAATAGCTGACACAGAAAGTCCAACAGAGCCCTGCAATTCCCAGCCCCACACGTCATCCCAAACAACAACAGAAATGGCACCCCCCAGAACTCCACTGTCCAGTCTCACCACAAAACGAAAATTATCATCCGAAGAGCCCCCAACTGGTGACGTCACCAAGAAACCAAGACGTACGATCAAGTCACGTCAGGCCAAGCGCTCAAAAATCTAAATGGTACAAAAAAAAGAAAAGAAAAAAAAATAACGAAATGGAAGGAAAAAAACACAAAATATCTATTTACCAATCTTTTCCCATTTTAATTTTTCAAATGAATAATAATCGAGCCCACGTCATTCACTTCAGGTTCAAAAAGAATGGTAAAACTGTGTGGAAAAAAGTACAAAATTATTTTCCTCTTTGGTAATAATTAAACTAAAGGGGTAACTCATTCTTTCGGCTCAGAAAAACGTAAAGATAATGATTAATGAAAGGAAACAAAAAATTCTAAATTATTCCCGATCGTCCATTAGCAATTGGGAATTACGACAAAAAATTATGCAAATAATATTGTGGGTCACGCACGTGTTCAGAACGAACCATTAGATGATTTATTTTGAGAATATCAATCAGTTTATTGTGGTTCAGTAGTGAAAAAAACCATTACTTTATTCACTTCGAAAATATCTCTGAAATCGAGACGTTTAGTGAGAAATGTTAATAAATTTTTGTTTTTTGTAGTTGAATAAATCCCTTAATGAAAAAAGTGGTATGATGAATTTTTCTAGACCTATTTCGTCTAGAATTCCTTTGGAGATATTTTCGAAATAATCCGCACATTAATTTCGGACTGATTAATTGAATATTTAATTAGATATCAAAAAAATTATTGGGTTCGGAGGAAAAGAAGAGACTCTTGTAGTCAGCATAAATCTCTAGAAAATTTTCTGGTATTTTGACATCTTTCAATTCACTATTTCTCGAGAAATTAGTGAAATAATTTCATTAGTTCCACCACTCCATGACTCACTTGATTTCTTTTTTCTTTTCCGATTAATTTAATTGATTAAATGATGTAATGAATAATAAAAAAAATACTTAGGAGACAATACCGAGGAAAAGATACTTGCCATGCTGGTAAATAGTGCCCACCGAGGGCGAATAATCCAGAATAATTTTTCTTTCCGCAGGAAAATCTCATTTTTCCCTTAAGCAAATCGTAACAAAATGCGGGCAGAAATACTCTGAATTTCTCGGAAAAATTTCAGCATTTTCTTTCATTTTTCAATCATAATAAATGATGTTAAATGGTACCTGAAGGATAGGAAGGGGGGCAGGAGAGAGAGAAAGGAAAGGAGAAGACTAAAAAGAAACAAATGGAGAGCACGAAAACTGGTCCAGCTGCAGGTACTCCGTTGTAATACGCACCATAACAAAACCATATCAATTATTCTCCTCGTTTAAAATTACGTACACATGTGGTTTTTTTGATTTCTGGTTCTAATCGCCACAATGACAAATGAAATAAATAAATAAATAAATTATAGTTGATAGCTAAATACAAGGCCTTTTCCCGAGGATTAGAACATTAAAATGCAGAAGTTAAAATCACCTCAGATGAAATAATGAAACTACAATCACTTGTCAAGAGTAATTTGATTCTGTTTCATTTTTTATTACTAATTAATTTCTGTTGCCCTTTATTATCTTTGACATAAAGACAATTAATGAATATCCAAGTAACAGGAAATAATGATGGAGAGGCGCGTGGTTAGTAATATTGTGAGTTATTCATAAATCTAGATATTAAAAGAAGAATAAAAATTACAGAAATAATACTGATAATAAGTGAATGATACTTTATTACAGAACGATAATACAATAATGAGGAAATCAATTGAGAAAATATATATATGTTGAGTGACGGTTGTAGAGAAAAATCTTCCCCCATGAATTAACTGATTTTTTTTTTCGCCGGGGAGTTCTGTGTCGGAGGAATATTAATTACTTCATTATTCATAGTTTAAGTGATTATTTTAGGATTTTGGGTATAAATTCGAATTTTTGATGTTTTCATGTGGAATATCGAAGGATTTTTGATTTATCGTTTTTTTTTTCGAGTGAGAGGTCATTAGCTAAAGAGTTGGCAGAGAGAGAATGTGGAGAAATTTTTTAGATATCTGGGGGATAATGAATAATACAGCTTCAATCTTGTGATTTTGGAAATTCGTCTCTAATTTCTCTTGTTCATTATTTTGCAAATATCTTTGGGGCTCTTGGGTTCATTGTAAAATATCAGAATAATTTTTTATGAATAGTTTAAGGGATTTTTCTTACTAGAACCACGTGTTCTTCAGATGTCTGCAAAATTAATTCTTTATGATATTGAAAATATTTCAACAATTTTATTTTTAACTTGAAAGTCTCACCGCATTTTTTTACATTTCTCTCTCAACAACTCCCATCTTTAAAATAATTGAACATTTTCTTGTAAACGAAGACTTCGTTTCCTGCTTTACTATTTCTCTACTGAATTATCAGAGGATAATCAATGGAGGGATGGGGAAGGGAGGAAAAGTTTTATAAGGGTTCTCATGGAGAGCTTTATAAAACAGTGAAGATTTTGTGATTGAATGAATGATTCTCTCGTTATATTTAGTCACAAAATCCAATCAAATATCCTTTCTAATTAGCAATACCAATTTTTTCATTTCCATACGAAGCTTTAGTGTTACAAAAACTGCTGAAAGTGACCTTTATTCACTGAATTAACGGTTGCGGGGTGAAAAAAAATCCTCATTTTCCAATGAATTTTTCTGAGTAACTGCAGGGATGAGATTATCATTATCACACCAATGGTAACAATTGAAATTCAAAGTCACGTGTCGGTGCCTGAAATTAATGATTTTTATTCTGCGTATCGAATCGATGAAATGATCAACGAATTTCCGAGTAAAGTAGATGTCTAAAAAAAAAATGTAAAAATAATTAATGAATTGTCAAACTTCGGTTTCTGGCACGATCCGTCCTCGAGTGATAAGCGACAAGAAATAATATTCAGAGATACAGAAACGTGTGCAAAATATGTTTTAAATACTACGTAACAAATGCTGATAAGAATGATGCAATCTTATTCCCGCAGGAACGAAGAAAATAAAGAGACAGAATTAAATTGGCAGCGTTGAAATTCTCAATGAAATTTCTTTGATTGAGTAAATTTGAATTGCGAATTTTATGTGCGATACGATGAGTGAATACTAGGAAAAGTGATTAGACTCACTGGATCGGAGGCCCACAGTCCGAATACCGTTGAGCCACGATTATATGAACTAATTATTGTCTTCATTGTTTTACGTGTATTTGAAAAAGATGAAAAACGATTGTAAATATATAACATAGATACATCCGTATAATAAACATAATTTAACATAAACCTGAATTCTCTTTCTCTTCGCCTATCCAGATGAATATCAGTTTTATCAGTTTTTCAAATAGTTGACAACTGAGAGAACTATTAAATTCACCCTATTATATTACGTCAATAATAAATGCGAGGAAAAAACTATAAGTCTATATTTATGTAAAAAATTGTTGAAAAGTACAGAATAAGTGTATAATGTACAAATTAAGAATCAATAATTCTCCAAGAATATTTTTGAAGATAAAATAAAATTAATATTGGGAAAATTGAATTAAAATTAGACTAAGATATGACTCGATAGGATGAAAAAAATTGAAATTGATCAGGATGATAAAATCTGTAATTGTTCAAGTGAAGGCGAAAAATTGAATGACTGGAGGTCCAAAAACCCTTCATTCTCGACAGTCGATGGGCGCACGTGGCTCCCCGGACATTTGACAGTTCCACTTCGTAATTCATGTCACGTTTCGCCACTTTCCCGCGCATTTCTCATCCCTCGTGTTGTGACGGATTTTTCGGGCCAACCGGTTGCTCTCTTTACCATCGGGAGCTCTTCCACGTTCTCAAATCAATGCGCTCTGTCCATTCACTACAAAACAAAAATGGCCGACCTTACGTATTGCGAAAGACTCGTAATGCGTCAGTATTTATCAATATTGTGATTCAAAACACTATCACATGTCGTGTCAGACGTTTCTATATCACATTTGAACTCTTGCAATCATCGGATAAGTGTGCCTTTCTTCTCCTGTGGAAGTAATTGAGGAAGTCACCCAGAAGAGATAAGAGAGTGAACATATTCGGATGTCACTAATAACCTCAAAACGAGTCTCGCTTACTGAGGAGACTTTCCAATTTTTTACGATCAACTCGTCTCATTACCCTCGGATTAGTCATTTCAATTCGTCCTGGACCATTTAAAAATGGCCGAAGTGTCCAACAAGGAATACGAGATTCGTAAGTTGACAATTGAAGATTTTCAATTATTTAATTACTTGCATTATCTGTATTATTTGGACAACTACCGTTTTCAATCCTCTGTTTGGAATTTGTGAAAGTAAAAAAGTGGAAATGATAAATTATGAATATTGAATTAGGCATGTAAACTGTTGACATTAAAATTTTCTTGGATTTTTTATGGATGACACGTTTTTTTTCTCATTTATTCTTATCTGTGCACGATTGGACGGGCCGACAGTTGTATTGGCAGCTCCTGAATTATCTGTTCATTGAGTTATTGTAATGTTGTATTTAAGGTTCCATTGATAAGATACGGATTTACCAAGCGAAGAGATATTCTTACTAATTATTATACTGGAATGTTAATGACTCACTGACATTTCTGAAGTTTTTGTTGTTTTGAATTGGGAAATTGACTTCAAGGAATACATCTCTATTTTCAATTATTACTTATTAATGATTATTATTATCAATTAATTAATTACTTATCACTGATCCACGGTCAGTTGATCATTCTTTAGTTATTGATCAGTTCTGTAATTGCGTGATAAAATGCAAACAATGTAATGACATTATGACGAGATAAGATATATATCTCGCAATCGCGCTGATAGAGAAGTTTCCTTGAAATAATTTCGTTACCTATTCCCTGCATTTACAGAGTGATAATTGTCGTACTACTTCTGATTCACCAGTTTTGACGTCAATTTTGTTTAAAAATTGTAATTTACTGTTTCAATACGTTTATTTATTTTTTGTGCATGAATAATATTGAAATTGTCCAATTCGATTTTAACTATTCATCACGTCTCGATGAAAATCTCGAAATCCAAGGAAGATAGCGGGATGTTTGTTATAATGTTTTCTGTTGAGGTAATTGAGGGCTGCAAATGAAGATTCTTCTAAAATTTGACTATCTCCCTCAGTTTTGTAGATATTCCAGAAACTCTCATCGAACTCAGTAGTCTCATCTCTGTTTACCAGTTTGTTTCGACATTTGTTGCAGGTTCAGGGAGGAATATGAACAGTGGAGCTGGATCTGATGGTGATATGAAGCTGGAACCATCGAGCCCAACGGAAAGATTCGGCTTTTCCCGATGCAGTAGTACTGGATCTGTAAATACGCCGTCATCATCGGCTCATAATACTGGTAATTCCAATTTTCCGCATGAGTTTTTCTTATTTTTTAAATTGCCGATACCAATTATCTTACTCTTTCCATGAATTCTTTTACGCTTCTTCAAATTACTTACTTGAAATTAATTGATATTAATTAATGAAAATCTCTGGAACGATAATATTAGGAGAAAAGTTTACAACTCCACAGTAAAGATTTAAAAAATCTAGCTGTTGACGTTTTGTTCTAAAGAATATGAGATTCTAAAAGCTAACTTTCTTCTAAAGATAGCAGATAGTCAAATTCTAGTATACCCTCAGGTATTAATGTTTTTTTTATTGCAGAAGACGAAGACAGTGATAACAAAAGTTCCACTATAAGCTACAAGGAGCGTAGACGAGAGGCTCATACTCAAGCAGAGCAGAAACGTCGAGATGCGATAAAAAAAGGCTACGATTCCCTCCAAGATTTAGTTCCAACTTGTCAGCACACCGATTCCTCTGGCTACAAGCTCTCCAAGGCCACTGTCCTCCAGAAATCTATCGATTACATCCAATTCCTGCTCCAACAGAAGAAGAAGCAAGAAGAGGAGAGGAATGCCCTGAGGAAAGAGGTGGTCGCGCTCAGAATTATGCAGGCTAATTACGAGCAGATCGTTAAAGCCCATCAGACGCAACCTGGACAGGCTGAGATGAGGGTCTCTGATGAAACTAAATTTCAAGTGGTAAAAAAAAATCTTTAATTCAATGAGAATTTAATTATTTTATCCCAATAATGACAAATATTTTAAATACTTGAATTACGAAGTAAATAAGTGGGCAATCACTGCTCTTTCATTACACATAGTATAATTATTTTTGTCAGTTCCATGCATTTTTGGATTTTTGAATCATATTCCGGTTAATAAAAAATTTGCAACTTAAATTTGATCGATTACAATGTTTCTATCCGGAGGCAAAAACCAATTTATTTCAATATTCTTCAATGTTTTTATAATTTCAGTTCCAGGCAATAATGGATCGACTTTTTCAAACATTCAACAATGTTTCGGTGGCGAATTTCGCTGAGTTATCAGGCTGTGTATTCAGCTGGTTGGAGGAACATTGTAAACCACAGGTAACAACAACATATTGTTTCTGTACTGTTATCTCCTCGATATTTTCGAAGCTAGTGCATTCACTCAAAACTTCCAGATATTATTTGTAGTCTTTCGGAAGTCTTTCGATGGATTTCCTCAATTCATCCTCTCTCTCAGGCATCTGTCTCCAAATTATGTAATGATCTTGAAATTATCCAAGATTATACATAAATATTATTATATCATTATTCCATATTTCCATGTTTAGTTTTTCATTATTGAATTTCACATGAAAAAAATGGTTTGCTTGCTTCAGACAATGCGGGAAGTAGTATTATCCGTACTTCACCAGCTCAACAATCAAATCAGCTAGTCAAACGAGATAAACGAGATATCGAACAGAAATTGAGTCGAGGATCTTCCAATTTTACCCGTGAAATATGAAAATAATTAAGAAGAGTTACCAAGTTACAATTATGTTAAGTGAAAAATGAATATATAAAGGTGTCATGAAGGATATGGAGATCGCAGAGACGAATTAGTTGATATTATTACGGGTACATGCGCCGCATGGGAATCCGGAGATCAATGGAAGATTGACAAGATGATTCAGATGGAGATTTATTTTATAAACAGTACGAGGAAACAGCTCTCTGGAGCTTCTTGAGAGTTTTATTCTCCAGTAACTCAACCCTGGAGGAAAGATATTGGTAAAATACTGTCTTAATAATCCACAAGTTGCCATTTTGTAGCTATGAATAAATGTCTATAAATAATGTTACCCATGGCTCGCATTTACTCGTTCAATTTTCGATTCAATAAACTACTGCATTCTCGTCACGTTTTCATTCTAATTTTTCTAAATTTCTATCAATTTATTAAACATTTTTATGACATCCCTACAGGCAATTCAATGAAACAATTAAATTCGCGAGATAAGATATACTTATTCGTTTTATTCATCAACAATTTTGATTATCTCAACAGATTTTCAGTAATCAATATAAAATATAGAGGGATATTACAAAATAACCCGAGGAAATAAGTGAAATGTGAAGATGACAGGCTGTAGTCTGGCTGATATTTCCAATTGCTTTCCAATTGCTCTTCAATTGTTCTCTCATTATTCAAATTTTTTCCGATTCTGTGGGCATACTATCGCCTTGTGTTATGTCGTTGAGTTGAATGGCATCCATTCTAGCTCTGATAATATCATCAGATCCAGGACTGTATCTTCCATCTCTACGTCTCTTTGCCCTGTCGACTCGTTGGCAGCACAAATCTCGGAAAATACAGGCGTAGCAGACGAGTAAAGCCGTTATCATTATCCCACCGATAACGAGGATTATCCCTAAGGATATAGTGAGCTCGTGGTCCATTGCCATCGGTAACTAGAACACAAATATCATCTCTTCATTATTTTAAAATCCCCGGGGACGAAGACAATCTAATTGGAAAAATTATTACTTTGGAAATCGCATCGAAATTATACAATTCGTTCAATTTCCAGCTAACAATGAAAATTAATTATTAAAAAAAGTCATTAATATTTTAAACATTTTTAATTGAAATGTTAATACACAATTTGTTTTCTAAAAGTATTCTGTTCTAACATGTATTTCATGAAATTATTTAAATTATTTGATTAGCTTTGATAAATCTTCGCGTGATGGTTTTTTTTGCACAAGTCCAGAAATTTCTAAATGTTTCTTTTTTTAGAAGAAAGTTCTGGAAATCATTAATTTTTATTCCCTGAAGTCGTTGAAAATCAATGAAATTATTAATGCCAGTAATAATCCCGAAAACCGGTAGCTTTTAAAAAATACTTGGGAAATTCCACGTAATTTCATTCAATCCCTTCACCATTCGTCCCTCGATTCTCCAGGAATCCATTATTCATTCGTTCAGACGTCGCCCGAAAATTCTGTTCGACATATCAATGTAAACTCCATTTCATTCCTAGAACTTTCTTCGAATGTTCTTTCAAACTTGAAAATGGACGATAAGACCATGGCTGAAGGGGATGCGAGGCCACTCACCCCATCCCTATGTAAAAGCGTTATATTTTTTCCATCAATCCCATCGATAATTTGCAAATAAAATTCGAAAAAGTGAATTTCGGCTACTATGGAGTGATATATATGCTATAATATATATTATATAACATGATATATATGCATCACAAATTTGACATATTTTCCGATATATATTCATTTTCTTGTGGTTAATTAAATGATTAATTAGATTGATTCAAATATTTTCTAAATATCTATTAATCAACCAATACACATAAGATAAAGGAAAAATTTCAGTTGAATTCAACAAAAGACATTTGAAATGGAAAAGAGAAACCAACAAAACGAATTCGTTCAGACTGAAGTACGAATTCAGTAGCGAAGTGGTAAACTGGAATAAGAGAATTTTTTCGAGGTCAGTATTCGAGCAATATCTCGGAAATGAAAGCACATAGCGATTTTTTTCCATGAAGATTTTTTGTAGGAAAAGATGAGGGGTACAAAAAAGGTATTCATGCAAATATTGTTATCTTTCCTCCATTTGGAGATATTGCCTCAATACTGGTCTCGAAATTAATGCGGTTATTTTGGTTTATCACTTTCCAGCAGAATTAATTATCCAGAAAAATCGGGGAATTTTATTCTTTCACTTTTTCACCAAGGGATAAGCGGGAAAGTCGTTTATCTCACATAGGGAAGAAAGCTATCGCCCCTATGGGCTGGTAACAATATTGAAAAAAAATGGGGAAAAAAGGTGGCAAATATTCTTCATATGTCGAAGAAACGGAGGGCCAGGAGAATGAAACGTCAATTGCGACTTCTATTTCTGTATTTTTTTTTCATCATCGTCTTGGTCCACGAGCACTATATTCACCGTTTCACCCCTCGTAGCTCCTTCATTGGTTTTTCTCTTTTTCTATTATTTGCTGAGAAGAAAGCGAGACTTTTCGCTTGTCAGCACATATATTGCTTTTTATCCAGCCAACACCTTGTCACGGTTCATTCGCTGAATTTTATTGCTGCCAAGCGGCTGAAAATCACAGTAGTTCTTGAGAAATTTGTCGGATGGAAATGGAAAGACCTGATGAATGACGGAAGCTCGGATGGTTTATGGAATTTTCGATGGATTTCACGGTGAGAACTTTTGAATAAACCGGGGATCAGTGCGAAAATTTATTGCTTCCAGAGATTTTTTTTCTAAAACACTGGTTTCCGCCGGAAGAAAACTTTGCAGTCGAATTTACCTTGATATTGCAATGAAAATCGCATTTATCTAGAGAATTGCACAAAGATACTCGAATTTTAAATTGAATAAAATTTATACCAAAATATATAATATTCAATATATATTCAATTTGTACTATAATAAAAGTACAAAACTTCTAGATGAAGTTCAGTTAAAAAAACGAAATTTTTATATAGAAAAACAAATTAAAAATGAAAAATTCATTATAGTATATACATGTCAATATTTTTCTCAACTTTACTTAACTTTATTTTCAATTTTCAAAATTTTGAATCAACAATTTAAGAGAATATTTATATATAACAAAGCTAGTAAAATTAATAAATTAATAGAACTCTCAAATAGTTTAAACATCTAGATTCAAAATGGAGCAAGCGGAAAAGGTGTAAAACACAAAATAACACCAAAGAAAATAAAAATTATTATTATTTATTATATTTATATGTTATAATTATTGGAAAAAATCGTTTGTATACGCTAAGCCATGTGGCGAGAAACTCCGACACTTCTTTTTATTTCCGATTTTTTTCAGAAGTGAACATTAGGAGAAAAATTCTTCTAGAAGCAATATACCACAGGATTACTAAACTAAATGACTAAACATCCAGGCAAATTTTGCAACAAATTGATCTCTGTATTACACACGAAATTTTCCTGTTTTACTTTCGACTGAAATTAAAATGAGAATACTTCAAGTGACTAAAAGCGGATACTCCCGATATCAAAGAGCAGTAGAAACGTTGATAAATTTACTCTGACAAGGCTAGTTCCCAGGATGAAAACTAATCCTCTTCCTCGTTTGAGCGTGACTGTATGGAAACAAATGAGATTAATTCTCCCTACATCCCCCTGTCCGCTGAATTCGTATGTTTCAAATGATAAAACCATTGAGCTTTGAGGGACACAACGCACTTTATTCCCGAATTTTTTTTCGATTCCCAAATGGATATCCGTATCGTGAGTTTCCAATGTTAGGGGGGGGTATGTGTCTGTACCGCCTGAACCGCTCGCCTCAGGCAAATACTATGGCAATGGTACTTTTCGCATTTCGCGTTGAGTAAAAAAAAATATTTTAAAGATTTCTGATTATTGCATTTGTTATCCCGCAAGTGTCGATGGTTAATTCTTCTTAGAAACGGTAAAATCAATGAAAAATGGAGGATATAACCCATTGGAAGGTTGAACCAACCGTCGGGTAATTCATATTGCATGTACCGCTCGTAAAATTGTAAAATTGAGATATTTGTATCATTGAATTGATAAGATATTGATAAGATAATTGAATTGTAAAGTTAGTATTGTAAAATTCTTTGTAAAGTTCCGCTTGATATAATCAAATCGGTAGTCGATTGTTGTTGAGCAACAACTTTCATGCTGTAATCATATTTTATTATCAAATCATTTGTAAAATATCAAATCATTTGTAATTGGGAATGGAAAAAAATGGATGCTGATGGTTGGGGAGAAAAGGGGATGGGTGGTGTTGGGAGATGCACAACTTTCGTGGTGTTTCGTGGTGAGTGAAACCGATTAGGTATTTCCCAGGAGTTTACGGATTTGATCCGTGAAGGAGCTCGAATGCTGCTCTCTCTTTGATCCTTCTTCCGCATGCAAAGAGAGGTTTTACGGATTAGAGAATGGCTCATTGGGTATTAGTATATTACGCTCAAGTGGCGTACATTATTTTATATTTAGTGAGCACTACTCCAGTAAGACCCCATTAGGGCCCTCTCAGAAAAAGAATATTCTAGTCTAGATCATAAGCTTCAACACGTATCGACGTAGAAAGAGTTCTAGTTCTGAGACAATAAAAAAAATCTAATTTTTAGCATTTGAAAAAAATGCGGTCGTTTTCATGCGGACGGTCACATATTTTTTTCGTCTGCATATTCATAATTGGCCTGAACCACGGAAGCACTTTAGATGTCATAATATTGTATGAAATTATTTGACTGAGTTGTAAATTCTTGAATAGCACGCCAAGCCAATGAGTAATATTCTCGGTTGAACACGGGCTTGGAAAATTGAGGACGACCCCGATTCTTGAACCGAACTGGATTATGTCAGTAGAGTGGTATAACTTGGAGAGAAATAGCACTTTATCGAACCACAGAATGCTACGAGTAGAATGGAAACATCAATGGGTCTTACGGACATTTCCGACAAGAAGTGCAGATTAATACTGAGTTCATATTGTTAGCCAACAAATCCGGGTGAAAGTGATTTTAAAATCTGAATTTAGAAAGCTCAAATCAACTGCAAAATGCTTTTTATCATCCAGATATTCGATTAAAATTCCAGTAAAACAAAAAATGGAAAAAATTATCAAATGTTTCCTGGGAATAAACACAATGTCATTTCATTTTTACTCAATACTAATACAAATACCCAATCGTCAGACAGCTTTTCTGTTTATATATAATAATAAATTTAATTTAATTTGATTTTCGATAAATTTCTTCCCATGCATGACCTGCATGTGAAGTTTACACATTGTGAACTGCAATGTGTGGCTTCAGG